GGGTGGAAGCAGAAGCAGGATCCCCACTGAGCAACCCCCCCTCCCCCCCCCACAACGTAGGGCTTAATCCTAAGACCTTGAAAATTGGAAAGACTTAGTTTTCTACCCAATTTCATGTTTTCAGGGAACTAAATTGCTACTTTTTCCCCCTCCCTACATCACATTGACAATAAGAGTATATTTTTATACCTTTCTGGTTATTCTCTAAACTAAAAAGGTAAGGAGGAGGATTAGTGAAAATCATCCTAGGAATACCATCTTTCACAGGGCAATGGGCTAATTTAAAATGATCTCAAATTTTGAGTTTTTATTAGCTGAGTGATAAGGAGAAAGGACCTCAGAAGTGCATTATATTTTTAGAATATTCTTTGAAATGGCCAGTGGAGCTTAAAAAGCCCTTCATATTTATCTAAGTTGTACTCCAAAAGTGGCTGCTCTTGATAATATCATTGAAAAAAATAACAGCTAGGAAACTCTTATGCAATGACACTATGAACAGGAGGAGCCTGTTCCTTTTTGCCATAAGTCATTCTGGAGGCAAACTCAAACCAAAAAGGTCGAAATATCCCTGTAGAAGTTGGGATGCAGAAAACAGTTTGAGATGATCGTGATTTGTCCTCTGCTTTTGGGACATCCATACTTGATCCTTCTTTTTGTTGTTTTTGTTTTATATTTAGTTTAAGACTTCTCAGAATTGCACCTACAAATTTTAGAAAAGATACTTATCTACATTTGGATTCTGCCTCTGTATTGTAGCTTTTACTAGTTCTCTGAGAGGTTGCAGCACACGGTTCAGAGAATGAATTGTCATATATCTTATAGAACATGTCTGTGGGGAAAGGGTGTGTGTATATATTTTTAAAGGAAAGGACATGTCTGAGAATTTCATAAAATCTAAATATTTTCCATATACAAGAATATTGCAGAACAACTTTTGGGTTTGGGGGGGTTCTTGATCTCTGAATGTTAAATCTTTCTATGGCTTTGAGAAGTCATAATCACTTCAGAATTACTTTTCTTTTTTCAGCTTCTAAAAATCCACATTTTAAGTTCTACCTTTCCTATAATTATTGTTTGGACTCATAATAACCATTAACAGTATTTCACATAGGGAAATAGAGAATCTGTATCATCAAGTTTATTATTTTTTTAAAAGATTTTATTTATTTATTCATAAGGGGGGGGGGGCAGAGACACAGGCAGAGGGAGAAGCAGGTTCCATGCAGGAAGCCTGACCTGGGACTCAATCCTGGGTCTCCAGGATCACGCCCTGGCCTGAAGGCAGGCGCTAAACTGCTGAGCCACCCAAGGCTGTCCTGTATCATCAAATTTATAAAAACGGGGTAGACATAAAATACAGATGATCTGACACTGTTACTTACATTATTTTTCTAAAGGCCTAGACATTCTTCCTCTTATCCTGGCACCACTGGTTTTCAAGATCAACAATGATAAGTGCTTTGTCCTTAATTTTCAGTAGATAGAAAATCAAAATGGAAAAATTGATCTGTAGGAGTTATGGGGAGATGCAGTAACTTAATTCTTTTTTTTTTTTTTTTTTTTAACATTGCAGTTGCTGTTCAGGATTCGTTAATTCTCTCAATTTATTTTGACAGGAAGAAGGTATTTTAAAGTAAGCTGTTCAAACATGATTTATAGTTGATAAGTTGATCTCCTAATCCAAATTGTCATATTATCTTGTTCCAATTCTGGATATTGAAGAGTAAACGTTCATGGGATTTGAAATTTGGCTTACTTGATAACATTTTAAGACCAACATAAAATCATTTAATACTTTTAGATCCTGAGATGTGTAGAATTTTAGGTGGGAAAAGAGTCTCTACTAAAGTGACCACTAGGGGGCACCTGACTCAGTTGGAAGAGCATAGGTCTCTTGACCTTGGGGTCATAACTTCCAGACCCTTGTTGGATATAGAGGTTACTTAAAGCTTAAAAAATAAAGTGACCACCAGTTCTTGAATAAGCAGTATTATAACACCATTTTTTTTTGTCTAGTAGCACTAAAGATTCTGATATCCAAAATTTAGCTTTATTTGCTGTTATAATACAGACTTCAAGAAATTTCTGTGCTTATACATAATAAGAAAGCAAACCATCATTCTCATTTCCATTCCCCAGATAACATATTTTCATTCTCTTAGGTTCATTTTATCAAAACAAAGTTCAGCTTTCATAGAAAATGGAAGATGTGGGACTAGAGAGTTGTCTTTATCCAGAGGCTCTGTGTTTCTCTTCTCTCTTCTCAGTTCCACTTCCAGGTGTCTTCTAACAAATACCCGTACCCTTGATATCCATGGTGGTGGTATTCCTCCTGTCCTGTGTACACCGGGCTTCTGACCATCTCTTCCTCTAAACTCTGTATGTTACACTCTCTTCCACTCTTGTTTGGAACAAGCATGATACAGAATTCTTCTACATTTGGACAGTTCTGTATTTTATCCAGATCTATTCCTAAGACTAGAATTACGTAAGTACCACTATCCAACCTATGAGCAGTTTCTCTAGTACTTTCAAGGAGTTTTTTTTTTATTATTGTTTTTTATTAAAAGCCTAAAGAATTATCAAGTATATAGTTGAAGAAACATACTAAGTAAGAATACTGGAGGGTCACTTGGGTGACTCAGTGGTTGAGTGTCTGCCTTTGGCTCAGGTCATGGCCCTGGGGTTCTGGGATGGAGTTCTGAATCAGGCTCCCTGTGAATCGAGAGCCTGCTTTTCCTCTGCCTGGGTCTCTTCCTCTCTCTGTCTCTCATAAATAAATGGATGAAATCTTAAAAAAGAATACTGGAAATTATACTAATATTAAATATAATTATTCTATGTAAATATACCCCCCAAAACTTCATTCAAGAGATTAATTTCTCTCTACTCAATACATTTATTATATGGAGCTCTTTAACAAAATCACTTGACCTACCTGATGAAAGGTAGGTAGAAATCAGAATTCAGCCTGTTGTATCAGCAGAAAGCCTCAGTGATTTTTAAAAATTTTAATGTTTTGGAGCTCCCAGGTTACTCAGTCGGTTAAGTGTCTGACTCTTGCTTTCAGCTCAGGTCATGATCTCAGGGTCTTGGGATTGAGTTCCATGTAGGACTTTGTGCTCAGCAGGGATTCTGCTGGAGATCCCCCCCGCCCCTTCGGCCCCTACCTACCCTCACGTATGCATGTGCTCTAAGAAATCTTTTTAAAAATGTCAGTATCTTGTTAAAATTATTTTATTGTAGGTGATTAGAACACGTGCATCTAATGTGTAACTTATATAACATGTAATCTTTCAAAGAACATCTTAATGTATTTAATCAGAACATAGGTTCTATTCCTTAGAGAAGCTTTTACCATTGTTTAATCTTCATGTACTTTTTAAGAAATTTCATCACCTGTTTCTTCCCAGAGTGGAGGTAAGAAAGGGAATAGTAATTGGAGCTTTGTAAGCCAAACCTATTTCTTTATCCCACAGATACTCCAAATAAAATTAATTACTATTATTAAAGCTACTTACTAGCTAAGCTAAGGCTAGGTAACAACTGGGACATTTATTCTCCAAATGTTTTTAATATTACAGGTAAAAAGTTTACAGGCATCCTCCATGTATGGTAAAATAACAGAGTATAAGCAAAATTAGATATGAAGAAAAACATGAATTCAGTGAATACCGAAAGCTAAAGGTCCAAGAATTCCTTCATTTAGAATGCAAGGCAGAGTAAAGAATTATAACAGATCTCAAAAGCAAAAATAAAATATCAATATCCAGTTAAAAATTAGAACTTAATGATGGTCTTATAACAGGATTAGGTTCGAGTACATGTAACAGAGAAGCCCCAAATGGCAACTTCCACAACTTGGAAGTTTATTTCTCTCAAATCAAAAACATCCAGAGTAAATAGTCTGAAGCTGACAGTGGCTCTACTTTGTCCACAGGGACCCAGACAGGCTCTCTGCCATCCTTAGCATTGGCTTCCACGTCCAGGTTAGCTTTTGGCTGGCTGGGACTCTCAGGTCCAGTCGTCACCCTGTACTCAAGACTCAGGAGGAAGGAACAGGGATAGGCTATAGATGAAAGGACTTTCTCCTGGATTCTTCTCCTATCAACATCTTGTCAGCCAGAACTCAGTCACATGACCACATGAAACTGTGAGGGAAACTGGGATATGTTTATTAACTTGATCATTGTGATTATTTCAAAATGTGTACTCAGATCATCATGGTATCCACTTTAAATAAAACTGTCAATTTTACCTCAATAAAACTGGAAGAACAAAGGGCTTTAAAGAGCCAGAAAACCTAATTGTAGAAAATAGTAGGAAATAGCATAATAATTGATAATTGAGAAGAAATCTGAATTTTATTCTCAGCCTCAAAAGACTTCTATTTGGAACTATGGAGCAGCGCATATTAAAGAACTTCTTTACACCCAAGTGAAGATGAGACTGTGCATGTAGTTAACGTGTGGGTTCAGTTTATTCTTGTCCCTCTTTTTCAGTTTCTGATCCTGTATTTGGTCCAGATTGTTACATTATATTGTGAAATTTGTTGTATTCTATCATACATACATAACACTTACCTTAAAATGCAGCAGCCAATACCCTGGTGAAAGGCTACTGTATTACTGATTTGATTTTGTTGTCAGATGTAACCAATAATTAGCTTACCATTTTTAAGAGCATTAAAAAGTTTCTTCACCTTAGTTCAAACCCACACAAGACATGACTTAGCAAAAACATCAGTGGTGCCTCATGACAGTGTGGGTTTGTGCATATCATATAGAGATTAGGAAGAATGATGGCAGTAAGAGACCTGGCTTGTATCTACATCACGTTGATAAGTGCTTTGTTGTTACGAAACTTACAGGAGGGGATTTATGTATTATGTAAGGTCAGTCTGGAAAGTATTTCTCAGATACTATGTTCTGATTAATTGATAATGATGATTTTCATATTTCCTTACGAAGCCTGTAATAGCCATCCTTCCTTCCTTACAGGACAGACATCAGATCAAGGCAGCCCCTTCAAGATGACCTTCCATTCTCTGAGAAGCCGCCAAGCAGACAGTTTTCCTTACCAAGTCTGTCTCCAGAAGAGCCTCAACAGAAGACTGCACTAGCAAATGAGGAAGCATTGCAGAAGATCTGTGCCCTTGAAAATGAACTTGCTGCTCTCAGGGCACAGATTGCCAAAATTGTGACCCTGCAAGAACAGCAAAATCTCACTGCAGGTCTGTAAATCCTAAATTTGTTTTAACCAGTGAAGTGGGAATTAGGAGAATGCCACTAATTTTAAAATGTATTAGTAAGTAACAGCGATGGGGTTGTCAGAAAACCAAAGGTCAGTCCTCTCCGTGGTCCAGTCCAAGACTCAATCAAGTTTAAGTAGCTTTTGTTGGTTTTGGACAATTTTGATGCTATCAGAGAGGATGAATTTGGCAAACACTGAAATTCATACAGTTGAATTGCTGCTCTTGTGAATACACTGGGACACTTTATGATAATGGCACCAATTTTATCAGCTGAGAAGTAATCTCAAAACCACCCTGATGGGGTTTGAGTGCTGTTTACTGACCTGCATGTCCCAAGGCAAGTCCTCGGCCTTCCTACCTTCCTTTCCTGCTCTAAAATGGGCTAATAGTACCTACGTTGTGCAGTTGTTGTGGTAGTAAATGTGCAAATTATATAAAATGCCTTTAGTACATAGTAGCTACTTAATAGTCATTTCTCCTCCTCTTGCCCAGAGTAGAAACTGAATTCAGATCCTGTGACTCTTGGTCCAATACTCTTTGCTTTTATTTGTGTGCATTGTTACTTTGGAAAAGAAATCCTAGCCTTGAAATCCCAGCCTATTAACCTGCTGGCAACTCTAATGTTTAAAGATTGTTATTCTGCCTCCAAGCCATGTGTGCTGGAGTTTACTGTAACCCAACACGGAGACCTCACGCAACATGAGGACAGCAGACCAATGTCCTCTGGGCACTGAGCGCTTGAGAAGTAATTGGTTATTTTAACGAAATTTGCATGTAACTTTTAAAAAACCATAAGTTCTATCTTTTTAAACTTTTATTATATGGCATTTCTCTTTTGCTTTACCTCCCTCTTCTGGCAAACTAGGAAAACTGAAAATGAGATCATTTGGAGGTTTCTAAGATGTTCTGTTTACAGTTGAAATCCCTGGAGTAAAAATTTTGCATTGAGGTCAATATTAGTCCTAGTCAATACAGTCCAACCTGTGAACAACTCTCTGTCCTCTAGTTATGCAGAAAGATGAATTTTTATATCCTTATTTTGTAACCACTTTATTTTTTTCCTTTCAGGAATTTGTTGAATATTAAGTCTTAAAACTTCTCCATGTTTTACATGTAAATATTCTTAAAATGAAACAAATTATCAATTTTTTCAAATGATACTAAATGTATCACTGTCTATATTGAAAATGCTTATGCAGTATACTCTTTTATATTTTATCTAAAAGTAGTTACAAATTGCAACAGTCAGACTTGAACTTTTGAGATCACAAAAACACCCCTGTTAAGTTAAATGGAACTTTTCCATCTGGAGAGCTTGGGATTAGATAGATATTCAAGATTCTAACCAAGTAACCGAAACTTCATTTAATTACATAACTGAGGGTTTAAGCATATTGATTTCAAGTATACAAAAGTCCTTAGCATAATTTTGCTGTTAAAAGTATTTTATTTGCCTGTTAGTGTTAAATTTTTCCTTATTTTTGTAGGTGATTTAGAACCTACCACATCTGTTGCTGCAGCACCACCCTCTGTCCCCCCACCACCCCCGCCCCTACCCCCATCAGGACTCCACCAAAGTGTATCTGCTATTGACTTGATAAAAGAGCGAAGAGAGAAAAAAGCTTGTGCTGGAAAGACTCTGGTTAAGAGCAGTCCAAAGAAATCTGATATGCCAAATATGCTAGAGATCCTTAAAGATATGAATAGTGTAAAACTGCGGTCAGTAAAAAGGTGAGGATACATTTACCTGCTCTCACTTCCTGTATTTTTGTTATGTTTAGTAAGCAAAATACTAGGCTTCTTGAGAACTTTTCTTTTATAACCTGTTTACCATGAAGAGTTCTAGTGTTTAGTTTTTAAAAAACAAGGCCTCAAGTGTCTCCTGTATAACTAAGAAATCAGCAAACATTTCCAGGCTTTTTAGTTTTCCTCCTGTTGAATTTAAAGTTGTTTTATGTGAAGTCTTTGTTATCATCTAGTCATTCATTCAGTAAAGCTACACTGTACATCTACCGTGGTAATCACTAGGCTTTGGGAGAATGGAAGTGTATCTGCCCTGACAAAGGAGAGCATAACGTATGCTCTTGAGTTGAACTAAGTGGCTGTTCATTGGGCATCTTTGTGTGTTTATTGAGCCTTAGAGTTTCTATCTCCCTTCTCTCAACGTTTGTCAGTAACTTCACTGGGTATCTGTGATGCTGGAGAAGTGCTGCCAAGCATGTAAAGGCACACAAAGTACTTCTCTGAGGGATGCCGGCATATTGAAATGTCCCCTTGGTTTCTGTTCACTTCTTTAAGGTCAGAACAGGACATAAAACCCAAATCTGTGGATGCCACTGACCCTGCTACCCTCATAGCAGAGGCTCTGAAAAAGAAATTTGCTTATCGATATCGAAGTGATAGTCAAGGTGAATCTGAAAAAGGAATTCCAAAACCTGCATCTGAGGCCACCTCAGAAACAGTGTTGGTGAGTATTAGGTCACATTTCTTTACTTGTACAACGTGGTCATTTACTCCTTTGCTGAGCATGTGCATTTCATAAGACATTCAGCTGTGGCTTCTGCAAGATTCAGAAAGATGTGCCACAGGAACTAGCCCCTACCCACAAACAAGATTGGTCATAGAAGAGCATAAAAAAGGAAGCAAGAGCCAACTCCTGGTTTCACTACTTAGCATCTCCAGTGTTAAATTTTCCATGCTGTGCTTTTATTTATATGTAAGCACAGTGAAGTGAAATTCATAATAAAATTTATATCTTAGGACAGTGTGTATGTTATGATAGAGAATTCAAAGTAAAGAGAGAATTTTTCCTTAAGGTGTCCTGTGAAAGTCATTTAAGAGGGCAAGATTTAACCTGGACTTTGCAGGATGTTTCAGGTCATAGGTGAAGATTGAGCAGATTTCATGGAAACTTTCAAATATTAGCCCTTTACTAGCTCTTTACTGTCATGTGGAATACGTACTTATCCATTTGAGAGAGGCAGGTATCTTAGAAATTCTAGCATCTTTGAAACTCTGCAGACATTGAATAAAGGAAACTTCGTACTTCATTCTTGAGGTGAAATTGGCCTAAAGCTTATGATCTTGCTAATAAGGTGATTATAGTTTTCTAGGAAGTAATTTGGTTACCTCTTTGTATTTCATTCTGTTAATGTGTCATGTTTATAACAGCCTGTCAATTCATTAAGGTTTTTAATAGCTGCTTTGTTTTTCAGCAGAAATACCCAGATCTTTGATTAGGAGGGGAGTGTGTATCGTTACTGTTACCTGAACCAATATCTTTATTTATACTTTTTGTTTCTTTTCTAGTTTGGGCCACACATGTTGAAGTCTACAGGAAAAATGAAGGCTTTAATTGAAAATGTTTCAACTTCCTAATAGAGAGTGAGCCGAGAAAAACTATCCTTGTTCCAGCTGTTGGTTGGTTAGGGCTGTTTGGCTAGTAGAAATCAACAGTATTTAGTAAATACCTGAATTTAGTATTCAGTGGTATCCTTTTAAGTCTAATTAGATTCAGCAATAACAAATGCACCCTAAGTTTGTGGGGTTTTTCCTATGAGATTAGTTCTGAAGTTTTCCATAACGTGTATTCAGAGGTAACATGTTTTTAATGTGTAGTCATAATGTTTAGGTTTCTAGGCTTGAAAACATAGATTTCAGAAGGACATTTGTAGATGTGAGTTTTTAATTCTTAACACTAATTTATCCATGCAAATGTTTTATATGCATATATTTGGATATAACAGTATGTAAAATTTAATAATGACGTCAGTGAGGGTACTGTTACCATCATTAGTTGTCAGTAACCATTTACTACTCAGTGATGGAACACAGGTTGTTGGAGTGAAATATTTAGGATTGGAACCTTTTTGCCTTAATAGGGCTTTTACCTTAGAGTCTCTATCTCATTTCCTTGGAAGATGGGGTTCAAGTAGGGACCAGATAATGTTCACTGCTGAAAATTCCATAATGCTTTCGTTTAAAGGGAAGTCAAAGACTATGAAAGCTGCTTTCACTTCAGTGCTGTTCAGCACTGAGAAAAAAAAAATTTAGGGTTCATACAGATTTAATTCAATAATTTGATTTATTATAACAAGTGAAAACCAGAATGTACCATTTTTTTTCCCAGTTGAATAAATGGCATCATAAAGATGACTCATTGCTAATACTTAATGGGAAATGGCAGCATAATAGGGTTTTAAAATTTTTAATAGTGGTCGAATACAGTAGCTTTATAATGAAACACTGAATAGGCGAAAGAATTTCCTGTAAGAAGTTTATCATTGGTCAGAGTGCTGTTCTGTCGAACTACATTATACAGCAAACCTTAGGTGCTATTTGGAGAACAGCCTTTCTCATTGAGAGCTTCTGAGGAATTGCTGTTAAGTGATCATTCGTGAATGTTTGGTAAATCTTTATGGTTTTCTGTATTTCTGTTAAACTCAGCTATAGTTAATGTCAGAATCTCCTACCATGAGTAAATATTTGGATTTATTTAAATCTAGTAAAAAGAAGTGGAGATAGACATTTAAGTTATTGAAAATATGTGCAATGTTCTCAATATTAGCAGATGTTATTCAGCTTAAATTTTGAACTGTGACTTATTTTACATATGCTGATTACATTGTTCCTAACTGTTGATTTAAAAAAAATTCAGAAACTTTGCCTGAATTACATATTTGGACCTCCTAAGAAATTTATATTTGTATCAGTATTGAATTTGGCCACTGCTCCAATGGAAGGAAGTTACTGTTTTAAAATAAAGCAAATTTACATTTTCCTTGGATAAGGCCTATATATTGTTTTGTTTTTTTTTTTAACGGGTAAGAGTCTAAGTGTAGATTCTTTATAATTTGCTTTCTGCATTCTTAAATGGAAATGTTTCCACTTATTCACCAGTCTATTTTTTCCACTGAACACAATACCTGAAGTGAAAGATGATGAAGATAATTAAACTTTATAGCTGAGGCTCAGAAAGTTAAATTACTAGTATGTTTGTAGGGCTCAGAGAGCACTGGACTTAGGAGTAATATAAGTCCTATTTTCAAAAGGGGAACCTGGCTCAGCTCAAAAAATTAAGTAAAATAACGAGTTTCAATACATTCTGAGTGGTAGAGAGCTAAATAAATTACTACTTCTATGATTTTACATTAGGTCACTGTAGTTTCCAGTAGGCTGATTTCTGCCAGGTGTCCTCCTATTTACCTACTGGCACAGGTCTGGGGTGGAGCAGGAAAACAGTCTAGTTCTGGTTGTCTCCCCCATCATAAGCCCTTCTGTATAAGAATGTTTTCTTGACATATTAAATTCCTGAGTCTGTGTCTCAGTGGTAAAGAAGACAACATGAGGTAACAACTACCAGAAACAAATACTTTGGAAAAACCATCCTTCTGACAACTTCTCCAAAAATAGAAGTCTAAACTTTTCGTAGGTAGTCCAGGATAGTAGGGTAGGGAGTTGATAAATTCGAATCTACATATAAAGCAATTGTTCTTGAAGAACTGAGGCTCACTGAGAGTGGGAGAGACCAACACAGTAGTTACAGGAACCCCACCCCCAATACAACAAACTACACAGGGAGGGAGATCATGGAGGAGCCTGTGTGTAGACTTGCCAACCCTGGGCACAGCAAAAAAAACATACCGGTGGTTTATTTTTATTTATTGAGAGAGAGAGAGAGAGAATGGCTGGGACACAGGAAGTGGGAGAAGCAGGCTCCATGCAGGGAACCTGACATGGGACTCGATCCCAGATCTCCAGGATCACACCCCAGGCTGCAGGCGGCGCTATACCGCTGCACCACCGGGGCTGCCCCATACTAGTGGTTTAAAGGGCAATTAACCTATGAGTGAAGGAGACCCATTTTCTAACCCAAGTGTGGAATGGTAGGGAAACTGCTGGGACTCAGGTGGAAAGCATTGCTGATTACTATTGTTTATGTTCCCCATCTTAATAGTGTACAAGGAGCAGGGTCCAGGCACTGTAGCCAGCCTGCTAGGCTACCCAAGTGAGCCTCAAGCCTCCACCAGCTCATGGTCCTAGCACAGTGTCCCATAGGACACCCCTGGCTGACACCTGCTCCCATCCCAGCTCACCATTCAAAGCTGGCAGGAACATGCAGTCTACACGAGGCATTCCTACACAGGACCACTCCTTCAAGACTGTGAGAGATAGCTGTTCTGCCTAATTTATAGCAATGAACACAGAAAGGCAAATAACATGAAGTATATGTTCCAAACAGAAGAGGACAAAGCCTCAGAAAAAGAACAAAATGGAGATAAGTAGTCTACCTGTAGAGTTCCAAGTGATGATCAAATTCATTAGACTTGAGAGAAGAGTGGATGAACTCCAACGAAGAGACAAAATATTTTTAAAAAAGAACAGAGCTGAAGAATATAACAAATGAAAAATACACTAGGGGATATTAACAGAGGATGCAAAAGAAAGGATTAGCAATCTGGTAGAGTGAAGAATCCAAGCCAAACGGCGTGTGTGTGTGTGTGTGTGTGTGTGTGTGTGTGTGTGTGTGTTAAGTGTAAGGACCACTAGGAGAACAAAAAGTGTGCTAATATGCACATTAATAGGGGTCTCAGAAGGAGAAGAGAGAAGCAAATTTATTTGAAGAACTAATAGCTAAAAACTTTGCTAATCTGGGTAAGGAAACAGACACCCAGGAAACAGTCTGTAATGTGAGCCACACCAGATGTATTAGAATTAAAACGGCAAAAAGTAAAGAGAAAATCTTAAAGGCAGCACGAGAAAAAGCCACATACAAGGGAAACCTCCAGAAGGTATTTGGTTGATTTTACAGCAGAAATTTTGTTGGCCAGAAGGGAGTGGCTGGATGTATTTAAAATGCCGAAAGGGAAAAACCTACCCTTGCAGGATAAAATATTCTTAGTTGGAACACTCAGAATTAAAGGAAAAGGGTTTCCCAGACAAGTATAAGCTAAACCAGTACCAGCCTTAAATGTTAAAGGGTCTTCTTTAAGCAGAAAAGTCCCAACTGGAAATAAAAAAAAATATATGAAGGGAAAAAATGTCCCTGGTAAATATAAAGAGAGGAAAGCAGACACTTAAAAAGTTAGTATGAAGGTTAAAGACAAAACAAGTAAAATCAATTGTAACTACAATGAATAGTAATTTAAGGGATATACAAAAAATGTCAGATGTCAAAAACAAGATGTAGAGGGGGCAAGGAGTAAAAATTAGTGCTCTTTGGATGTGTTTGAACCTAAGCAATTACCAGTTTAAAATAGACCAGTATGTATACAGGAGTCTCATGGTAACCATAAACCAAAACCTACAATAGATACAAAAAAGATGGTGCACCTGAATGGCTCAGTGGTTGAGTGTCTGCCTTCAGTTCAGGTCATGATCCAGGGGTTCCCACAGGAAGCCGCCTCCTTCCTCTGCCTATGTCTCTGCTTCTCTGTGTTTCTCACAAATAAAATTAAGAAAAAAAAAAAAAAACTCAAACATGACAACAAAAACTCATCAAACCAAAAGGAAAGAGATAAGAAAGGAACCAGAGAACTACAAAACCAAAAACAATGAATAAAATGGCAGTAGGTATATACTCCTCAATTAACTTCAAACGTACATGAACTTAAAACCTAAAACAGTTATTGAGAATGCTTAATTTCTTTGGTTATTAGAAGTTGCATCCCAGAATCTCTTAAATCCTGTTAGGAAGTAGTTTTAAAGATGAAAAGCATGGAGATGCTCCATCATCCAAACATGGTATTTTCCAAAACAATGTCAACCCCCATTGAGAGTGCATTAAATTTTTTTTTAAGATTTTATTTGTTCATGAGAGACACACACAGAGGGGCAGAGACAGAGGCAGAGGGAGAAGCAGGCTCCATGCAGGGAGCCCAATATGGGACTCCATCCTGGGACTCCAGGATCACACTCTGAGCCAAAGGCAGATGCTCAACCACTGAGTCACCCAGGCATCCCAAGAGTACATCAGAGTTTTGACTAAAATGAGGTTCACTTGTGATCAGTTTGTTCATTTGACTCGTTGACTGTTGGCAAAAAATGTAGCTAATATATTAATAAATGTTGCATTTGATTTGGAAAAAAATGAACTCAATACTTAAGTTGAAAGACATAGGGGTGGTAAGTGTCCAACTCTTGATTTGGGCTCAGGTCATGATCTCAGGATCCTGAGATCAGGCCCTTCCTGCATTGGGCCACACACTGCATTGGAGTCGGCTTGTCCCTCTCCCTCTGTTCTTTCCCTCCCTGCCCTCACACTCACTCAAATAAAATCTTAAAAACAAACAAACAAAAAAAAAAAAAAACAAAAGACTGTACCAAAGACAAGGGCATTACATAATGATAAAGGAGTTGGTCCAAGAAGAAGACATAACATTTGTAAATATCTACGAGCCAACATAGGAGCATGTAAATATATAAAGTAAAATATTAATAGATCCAGACATGAGGGAAAATAACAGTAAAACTTCAATAGGGCCCATTAGCACCCCACTTACATCAATGGATAGATCATTCAGAGAGAGAATCAATAAAGAAACATTGCCCTTAAATGACACATTAGGCCAGATGGACTTAATAAATACAAAATATTCCGTCCCCAAAACTATAGAATACAGATTCTTTTCAAGTGTGCACAGAACATTCTCCAGGAGAGATCACAGGAGGCTACAAAACAAGTTTCAATAAATTCAAGAATGCAATATGTTGTCTCTTCTCACAACAGTATGAAACTAGAAATCAAATACAAGAAAACTGATAGACACATGGAGACTAAAAAAACGTTACTCAACAGTAAGTCAATGAAGAAATCAAAGAGAAACACTTTGAGACAATAAAAACTGAACTTTCCAAAAGCCATAGAATGCAGCAAAAAGCAGTTCTAAGAGGGAAGTCCATAGCAAAACAAGCCTACCTCAAGAAATGAGAAAAATCCCAAGTAAACAACCTAACTTTATATCTGAAGTTAGTAGAAGGAAGGAAATAATAAAGACTACACAGTCCACCATTACCCTGATATTGAAAGACAAACCATAAGAAAAGAAAACCACAGGTCAAATATCCTTGATGCACATTGATGCAAAAATATTCAACAAAGTATTACATACAGAATTTAGTGTGTTAAAGGGGCCATACACCAGAATCCAATGAGATGTATTCCAAGGATGCACGGATGGTTGGACATCTGCAAATCCTTGTGATACACCACATTAACAAAACGAGGATAAAAATTGTATGGTTATCTCAACAGATGCAGGAAAAAACCATTTGACAAAATTTGATATCCATTTATGATAAAGTGAGTATAGAAGGAACATATCTGAAAATAATTAAGGCCACGTATGACAAACCCACAGGTAACCTAATCCCCAATGGTGAAAAGCTAAGCTTTTCCTAAGACAAGGATGGCCACTCTTACCACTTTTATTTAACATAGTATTAGGAAGTCTAGCTACAGCAATCAGGAAAGAAAAAGAAAATCCCAAATAGGAAAAGCAGTAAAACTCAGTATTTGCAGTTGACACACTTACTAAAAAACCTAGACTCCACCAAAACACTATCATAACTATATCAATGAGTTGTCAAGAAGCAGTATACAGAGATACCTGGGGGACTCAGCCAGTTAAGATTCCAACTCTTCATTTCGGCTCAGATCATGATCTCAGGGTTGTGGGATGGAGCCCCGCATTGAGCTCCAGCATTGAGCTACATGCTCAGCAGGGAGTCTGAGATTCGTTCTCTCCCTCTGCCCCTCCTTCCCCCTCTAAAATATAAATCTTTTTTAAACAAGCTAGTATATAAAATTAACATAGAAATCAGTTGTAGTTCTATACACTAACAGGAGCTATTAGGAAAATAATCCCATCTATAACTATATCAAAAAGAAGAAAATACCTGGGAATAAATTTAAGGAAGTGAAAACCTATACTATGAAAACTATAAGACACAGGTGAAAGAAATTGAAGATGACACATACCATGTTCATGGATTCAAAGAATATTGTTAAAATGCTCCTACTCAATCTACAGATTCAGTGCAATCCATATCAAAGTACCAACAGCATTTTTCACAGAACTAGAACAAATAATCCTAAAATTTGTATGGAATCACAAAAGATGCCCCCCCACACACACACACAAATAGCCAAAGCAATCTTTATTTCTTTAAAGATTTTGAGAGAGAAAACTCAAGCAGGGGGGAGGGGCAGAGGCAGAGGGAGAAGCAGACTTCCCACTAAGCAGGGAGCCTGATGTGGGACTCAATCCTAGGATTCTGAGATCATGACCTGAGTAGACGCTTAACCAACTGAGCCACCTGGGTTCCCCTAGCCAAAGCAATCATGAGAACAAGAAAGCTGGAGGCACTGTGATTTCAAAGGCTATTATAAAAATCTAGTAACTAAAACAGTATGATATTGGCATAAAAATAGACCTATAGATGAATGGAACAGAATAAAAAGCCCATAAATAAATCCAGGCATATACAGTCAATCTATGACAAAGGAGCCAAGGATGTACAATATCTCAATAAATGGCCTTGGAAAACTGGCCACTATCTTATACTGTATACAAAAATAAATTCAAACAGATTAAAGATTTGAATATGAGACCTAAAACCATAACTTCCTAGAAGAAACCATACACAGTGCTACCTTTGACATTGGTCTTAGAAATATGGTTTTGGACCAGTCTCCTCAGGCAAGGGCAACAAAATCTAAAATAACAAGCTGGATCATATCAAAGTTTTGTACAACAAAGGAAACCCATCAACAAAACGAAAAGGCAACCCACTTAGTGGTAGAAGATACCTGAAAATAAGGGCTTAATATACAAAATATATAAAGAGCTTCTACAACTTGTATAAAAAAAATAAATAACCCAATTAAAAAAATGGGTAGAGGACCTGGATATTTTTCCACAGATGACATAAAGATGGCCAAGAGGCGAGGCACATGAAATGATGCTCACCATCATAAATTAAATTGAAACCACAGTATCACTTCATACCTATCAGATTGACTATTATCAAAAAGGAAAAATAAGTGTTGGGGAGGATGTGGAGACTATATTTTTAGAATCAAACTTGAAAGCTAAATGATTTTATTGGTCATGGATGTTAAAAAATGCAAGAATTACTAGAAATGGTATCATTTTCATCACTAATCAAATGAAACCATTCTCCTAAACCACACCCCAATACTCGGCAGTCATTTTGTAGAATACAGAAACCTGCCATATTCGAGAACACACATCATTTTGTCACCCAAACATTTTGAGAACAGAGACCAGGGTTTTGTAATTTTTAATACCTTTATTACAACCAGTGCAGTGCTCTCTGCACACAACAGGAACCTAGATGTTGCTGACCACATGATTCAGCACACACTAGTTTTGATAGAATTGCTTAATGTTAGACTGATGGCTAAAGAGGAAACACATTAATACCAAATTAGTTTGTTCAACAAACATTTAGTGATGGCCCAATTTACGCTAGCCCTGTGCTAAGCACAAGAGACTAAAAGGTGGATGAGACCTGCGGTGAGCCCCCTGGTAGCTCACCTCCAGGTAGTGAGCATTCCACCGACAGACCATGGACCCTTGGGGGGCCTTCCAAAGACAAAGGATGTCTGCAGATCCTTAGCAAGCAAGGAATGGCTCAGACTAAGTCTTGCACATATCTTGCAACAGTATGTTTCACATGTACGCCGATGCCATGGTGATTAATATGCACATTTATTTAAAAACATCAATGAATGCGTATTAGCTGTCGATCATTATATATTTTCTCAAGCAGGAGATACTGATTGGGAGAGGATTTAAACAAAATATTTATACATTAAAAAAAGTACACATGAAAACATTGTAAACCTGTGATGCAAAAATTTCAGAGTTTTAAGAAAACTGAAAGCTTAAAGAGCCAAGAAAGCATTTTGGGAAAAGAAACCATTTTAGGAATCTTCAAAGAATTACTAGCACCTCTAACCTGTACCTCAGGTACAAATAGATTTCCCCGGTTTGTAAAGGACATAAAATATTTGCTTCTTTTATACAAAGAGGATCCTTATAAACCATCACATTTACAGAATACAAATATTAGCCACGTACCAGATTTTTTTTTTTTTCATTAAGCTAAGGCTTGTGCCAAAATTTTCTCTCCACGGACCTTTACCTCCAGAGCAGAGGAGATGCCCCCTGACCACTGAAGTGTTGGGCCTAGAGCCCTGAAAGGCTGCTACATGCTCAACAATTCTTTGAAGTCTCCTGTTTTAAAAATTCATGTGAATTTTAATTGTTCCATAACATTTTAAGTGTAATCTTCTAAATTATTGAACTGTTTCTTCAAATTTTTCTAGAAAATCAATGTTCAAGGAACCTAAGTTATATTTAAGAAACAGGGCTATATAGACTGTGACTTCCATATATATGTAACAAAACATAACTTGCCAGTGGGTTTATTATATGTGTAGGCAGGAAATGGGAGCAACACTGAGGTGTCTCCGCCAAGAATGGAAATAAGCTAATCCTCTATCAAACAATAAGAAACACATAATGGATCAGAGCAGAAGTAAGCAATCATCCGGCAGATGGAGCCCAGGCAGGTTCAACTGAGACAAAGCTGAAGGTACTGACAGATCTACTGGATGTGCCAATCAGAAGCTGATGTGGAGAAGCAACTACTGGCAGAGAATCTCTAGCATCATCCAGGGGAAGAGTGTACCCTGGTCCACCAACATGAATATCAGCAGGCACATCCCCGTAGGGAGATGGATGCATGAGGCAACTTGCTTCCCTTGCTCAGAATCCATGCTCATCAAGTAACCGGCTGATCATAATTTGACTTCCCAAGAAGATTTGCCTAAAGGGAGAGAATGATTGATAGTTATATTTCCATTGTAAATTCAAATACTAACATTAAAAAAAAAGTATCTGTTACTATGAGCTTGGTTAATGGGAGTTTCCTAGGAGATAGCTCCACTTTGCATGTGCTGACATCCTAGGTCTGTAAAGATCTTCTCAGAGCCTGTAAAGATCTCATCAGACTCTAGATGCATCAGATTTGTCAGGATGGTGCCACCTTTAATGGCCACTGACCTTCCCCAGGTACAGTCCACTCTACTACATCAGACTGCTGTACCCACACTGTCCGATATGGTAGCCACTAGCCATAGCACTCAAAATGTGGCTAAGTCTGAACCGAGATGTACTCTCCAGTGTAAAAAACACACCAGATTTCAAAGATTTTGTACCCCCCCCCAAAAAAGAATGTAAAACATCTCTCCAATTGTTTTTTCTAAGATAATGACTACATATGGAAATGGTACAATATTTTGGATTGGATATACTGGAATAAATGTTAATAAAATTAATTCCATCTGTTTTTTTTTCCTTTTTTTAAACGTGGCTAGTAGAAAATTGATAATTCACTTACATGGCTCACATTATATTTCTATTGGACATCACTCTTCTATGCAAATAATGACAGCATGTTTGATTTTAAGGTTTGTACTATATCCTTCCTAATGAATAGGACTTGGGAAGACACAGGAGAAGCCCAGTGATGCCCTTCTTACACTGATCATCAATCAAAGGAGAATCAAGCCGATTTCTCCCTTGTATTAGTCAGAACTTGGAGCCAACTACATACCCAGGGCCACTCACTCACTCGTGAGGTGCAGATAACGCTAATGGATTGTGCCTGCACCTAGCTGGCTAAGTATCCGATGAGTGAATGCTAGAACCAAGAAGCTAAATCTCTGATTTCCTAGTAATTAGCATCATGATTTCCAAAAGATTGCGTTGTAAGGTAAATATCGAAGATAAAAATGTGAAAAGATAGGTTTTTATTCATCAAAAGTTAACAGCAACAGGCACATATTAAAATGAGTATGGCAAAGCCTTTTACAAATGGCTTTACACTCAAGCTTTCTCCCAAGAAAATGGCTGTTGCAACAAACTGTAAACATAATCGATAAACAGTCTTTTACAGTAACAAGGGAAATACAATTGAACTAAAAGAAAGCACCGGTTTCTCTTAAAACTAGATTACAGTTGTGCTTACTATACATAAAACAATTTAAAACAAATTACAAAAGTGGAATGTTTGAAGTTTAAAATTAGTCCTTAGATTTTTGTCCTAGAAAACATCTGTTCACATCAAAAGGCCCATCAAAGGGTAACGTTTCATCAAAGGGAGGGACAAGAAAACAATGCACTTTTTTTCAAATCAAAACAAGAAGTTTGGTCACTTAGCTTTGTGCATAGTTTAAGGCAACTGGAGCAGTCTGTTACGGCTCACCTACCTTCCCCTCCCCCAGTGTGGCTGCGCACTGTGTCACATTCTAAAATAATAAATAAAAGCTTACATTTCAACTCCTTTCCCACATGGATAAATATACCACATGCACAGTCACACATGCACAAACATGCACGCAAACACACATCCACACATCCACACACAACATACCTCTCACTCACTGCAGCGAAAGGGACTTTAGTACCCTTGCTCTGAAGGACACACTTCCCCATCCCACTTTATTTCAGATTGGCAAATACCCTGAGCTGATTATGGTGTTTTAAACATTCCACCTTTTTCTTGCATGTGCAGGTCAAGTGTACAGTAGTGAAAACAACATGCAATGTCTTCACTGCAGAATCATAATACAGCTAGGACATTGGTGTTCTTCCCCGCCCGCCCCAAATTAAAAACTAAGAGTTAAAAAAAAAAAAAATTGCATTGCCAAACGGCACTGGAGTGAAAGCTTGGCGGTACTCTATGATAAATGCTCAGTTTCCAGTGCGCAAAATAAAACTACAGCAAATGGGAGGCTTTGGTGGCATCCAAAGAAGAAACAAGGCAAACCAGAGGGAAAGAGCTGCAGGTTAAAAGTTTGATCTTTAAAATTCTTAGTGGTTCCTTCACAATCATGCTCCAAGGCAATTTAGAACCAGTATTTCAGAGTGGATTTGTAAACATCGAGTCTTGCAGGAGGCAGCAGAGGCTGGGCACTTCACATTTCCATTTTCTCAGAGAGAACTTAGTGGAAGGTACAGATACACAATGTTGCATCAGATTGGTTAAATTCCAAGAGATTTCTGCTGAAAGATCCAGTTCAAGTTTCGTGGTTCGAGGAATAAATGCTTGGAAAGACTCGGTGGCACACCTCAAAGCTTCCTTTTGTTCCTCCTCTCCGGTTCGCTCCTGCTGGGCTTTGCATATTCAAGGTTTCTCACGAAAGCCAAATGCATATTGCTATATGTTCAGGTCTTATAATTAAAAAGTGGGGTTGCGTGATCCGAGAGAGGACACCTTGGGAATAAATAACGCTGGCCTTGTTCCTTCGGAAACCTTGGCAGTCAAGAGCAAGTCCTCTCACCTTGAGACCCCATTTCACATTTCTAAACACCTGCAGGAGACAGTCTGTCCCACTGACTCTGGGGGCTATGATAATCGATTTTCCTGAGGTAATAACTGTGAGTTCAACTCCTCGAACGCAGCATCAGTGTCCTCACTGGTGGACTGTTCTCTCTGCAGCCCCTTCCAACTGGCTTTGTTCAGCCCCATATGTCCGAGCATTGTCTGGGAGAGCCTGGTATTGGAAAACCTGGCCCATTCTGTGAATAAAGGCTCCACTAGGTAAGTCATGAAACCTTGAGAAAATAAGAGAAAAAAGGTATTAACGTATATTCTGAAACTTCATCTTCAAAACATCTACCTGGTGTTTTTTCTCTAAATCCTAATCCAGTATTACCTAAGTTTTGTGTGTGTGTGTGTGTGTGTGTGTGTGTGTGTGTGTGTGTGTAAATTTACCTAACTTCTCTGAAGAACCTATTAAGGAACTTTGGTTTTTTTTAAGATTTTATTTATTTATTCATGAGAGACAAGGGGGGTGGGGGTGGGGGTAGAGGCACAGGCAGAGGGAGAAGCAGGCTTCATGCAGGGAGCCCGACATGAGACTCAAGACTGGATCCAGGGGCTCCAGGACCACGCCCTGGGCTGAAGGCAGCGCTAAACCACCGAGCCACCGGGGCTGCCCAACTCCTAGAACTCTAAGTAAAGGTTAACTGACAAACACATCAAATCTTTCCTGACGACTGCTCTCAGCACAACCACATCTATTTGAGCAAACACTTAGTGGCCCTTCCAACTGTGAGGAAAGCAGGGCAGACGGTTGCAGTGAAGACAGCTAGAGGCTGAGAGGGGTCTCCCAGGCCTGTGGGTGATGAGGTGGGAACTGAAGTGGCACTGCTGGTTTGCTGCCTTGCTTTATCCCCTCAGGGATGACAATGTTCACACCTGCCCATGGTTACAATTGGCCACTTAAATCAGAATTTATAGAGCCAAACCTTTTACAAAATTCAAATTCTATCACTGCTACGTAACAGTTTTTAAATTTTTTTTCATCCCCAAAACTTTTCCTTTGCAGCAAAAGATCTCTGTGGACCACACACAACATAGGTTACATTTAGGTGGCAAAAAATTCTGGAATTAAAGCAATTGGGGGAATTCCTGGGTGGCTCAGTGGTTTAGCGCCTGCCTTCAGCCCAGGGTGTGATCCTGGAGTCCCTGGATGGAGTCCCACCATTGGGCTTCCTGCATGGAGCCTGCTTCTCCCTCTGCCTGTGTCTCTGCCTCTCTCTCTCTCTCATGAATAAAATCTTAAAAAAAAAAATAAAGCAATTAGGACTTTTTATTAGAAAAGTGTACAAACTGTAGTTATCTGGACTACTGGTTAATAAGTGGAAATAAGGCCTTCTATTTCTTCCATTCCCGCCATATATATTAACTGAGAACCTACTATATGCCAGGCACTGTTCTAGGGTGGCCAGGAATATAGCAGGGAATAGACAAGATGTGCCCTCAAGGAGTTGTGTTCTGGTGAAGAGAAACAGACAAACAGAAAAATGTCATCACTGCAGTCAAAGAGAGCAGCAGGTTTTTGTGAGCCATCCTCACACCACAGGGTCAGGCTGAACAGTCACCCAAAGGCCTGTCTTTTCTAGATCCCATACTGAAGTCATGAGCAGCTAGAGTTTTATACCCAAATTAGAATCTTATTATCAGGGTTTACATGAGTTTCTTCCTATGGATTCACAGTATTACTTCCAGCTCTAGGTTAACCCTCATTCTTCCAGCTCTTAAGCACCTGGTAAAAATGAACAGGCTGGGGACCTGGACACATAGAGCCATGCAGCTCCCCCTTGGAGGGCGGGGCTCTACTTATCAGCTGCTTGTGAATCCACTTACTGTACATGCGCCTCTCTCTCACCTCCATGTACTTTAGGACACCCAGTACATGATCTTTTCTTGTTTAACAAAACTATTATTCCTATCAAAGATGGAACCTGGATTAATTAAATGTGACTTCTACTTAATGACCCTATGCTGACTCTGAGTAGTCACAGTATTTATTCTGTTAGTCACAGGATTTACCTAGAAATAGAATCTTTCCAAGCCCTATTTTACATGGGATTTGATGTCAAAAAGACCAATATCTGTGAACTGTATATAACTGGCAAACTATCTGAAAAAGAAGCACTAGCAGTATTTGTCTCTAGGGTTGTTGTGAAGAGTTAGCAGATGTCAACCTTTACCATCATTTTCTGTATCCTGTCCCTCAGATAACCTCACCTGGAACTGTCCAACATGGACAAGATCTACAGATGGAAATGAAGAGTTGAAGGGATCTAGCTTCTTTGCCCTTTTAAAAATTGCAGTTTTAAAAAACTTCACTGTAAAGTTCCCACATTAACCAAGGGAGTCAGAAAGAACTTAAAGTGGTTACAGTGCCTCTGCTACCTATCTTTGACTCAATTCCCTTTGACCACGTTTCACCTATTCTTTTGCATTTGAAGATTTTTCTGCTTGAGACTCTAGGCACAGATCTGCTTCATAACTGTCTTTTCATCCTCCCAAAAGAAAGCATCCCCCTCTGTAAAACTCCTTAGGTTTCCTGGCACCTCAGCACCCCAACACCATTCCCACAGGCCTGTACCACACTCTCCTGGACCTGGCTCTTCATTTTCCCTATTCTCCTCCTACAGTCAAGTCCCCTACAACCTCCTGTCTTCTACATGATGATCCTTTGCAATTACAATGCGAGAATTACATTTCTGAATTTCTCACCCTAGAGCACAGGCCTCTTCTCAAAGTATTATGCCACAGAAGCATGTTATCTTCTGAATTTCTAGAAACTTTATCTTTCTGAAGTTTGTGTACACATTTTTTTTAAAGATTTTATTTATTTATTTATTTTTATTTATTCTTTTTTTTAAAGATTCTATTTATTTATTCATGAGAGACACAGAGAGGCAGAGACACAGGTAGAGGGAGAAGCAGGCTCCATGCAGGGAGCCTGACGTGGGACTCGATCCCGGGTCTCCAGGATCACGCCCTGGGCTGAAGGTGGTTCTAAACCGCTGAGCCACCCAGGCTGCCCTGTGTACACATTAATGTTCACTAATGCTCCAATATCCTACTCAACACCAACTACCAATATTATATTCATCCTTCAATACCTCGCTGACCTACCCCTCCGCACAGTCCTACTTTATGCTTAGAACTCCACTGCTCATTCCTTTGCTCTTCTACAACAAGTTGCCCATATTTCAATCAGCACATCTTCCTGTTTTTCCATCACAGCTATGGCTCCTGTAATGGTTCCTAACAGTTCCCAAGTGCCCCCTGCCTCCAGCAGTGTGGGGCCTCAGGAACACATTTGCCAGGGACAAGGAACTGGGTGCAAGGACAGATGGATATGGTGTTCTGGAAGGCCTGGAAAAAAGAGCAACTCTGCCTGCAGAGTAGAAGGTAGCTTCGGGAGGAGGTGACTCTTCCAGAAAAATGAGTCCAGCAGGCAGATGGGAAGGATGGTGAGGCACAAAGAGTGGAGGGGCGTCACGGATTTGGGGAACAGGGCAGAGTCCCGAGTTGCTGTGGGTACGTGAGGGGCAGCTGCTGGAGAGCAGACTGAAATAGACGGCTTAAGGGGAGATTCTCCCAGGAGGCTGAAGAATGAACCAATAGGCAATGCTAAAAAAGACAAGTAAGCAGTACTAGAAACTGGTCTTCACGTTATCATCTTGCTCACTCAGTGGTCACTTTTCTTGCTTCAGAATGGCAGTCTGAGAATCATGCAAAAGAAGCTTCCACATTAGCAAACCATACATTCTTTCAGTTTCAGAACAAAGTTACTGCCACCTGCTTTGCAAAAATTATGGTTTTTATGACTTAACATCAAATGAGAGTAAATCATAAGAGCCATAAAAGGGGAAAAAGTGGTAAAATCTCAATTAAAAAACAGAAATGAGCACAATTTTAATATTATATATTTTAAAAGTATATTTATTTTTGATAAAATTAAAGTCAGCAGGATTTTTCTAACCAGCTATATCTATGTATGTATAGTTACCAATCTGGATGTTGGCAATAGATTCAGTCTGACGATCACAAAGAGGACTCACACCCAAATGATACTTCTTTTCTATATCTCCTAAAATTAAAAAAAAAAAAAGAATTATTAATGTGGAACATACCCATTGCTTAAGTATATAATTAAAGTCTTCATCTTACTTGTAAATTCCTTAGGAAAAACATGACATACTTAATCCTAATGAAAGGATGGCAACTAAATTAGTTCTTTTTTAAATTATTCAAAGATAGAAAAGATTAACAAGCTGATATTCTAATTTTTTAAAAGATTTTATTTATTTATTCATGATAGACAGAGAAAGAGAGAGGCAGAGACATAGGCAGAGGGAGAAGCAGGTTCCACACAGGGAGCCCAATGCAGGACTCGACCCCAGGACTCCAAGATCACACCCCGAGCCAAAGGCAGATACTCAACCGCTGAACCACCCAGGCATCTCAAGCTGATATCCTAATTTAAATGGAGGACATGAAAAATTTTACTAGGTGTTACCCCCATGACTGTAATTCTACTAGCATTTTAATTTAATACTTAGATTTCTAAAAGGAAGGTGCATAAAATGAAGATCCTTGGTTCCTGGCTTTAAATTGCTAAAAATATCTTGCACATTCATATGGCAATACCTTCCACGTGGGACAAAGATGTAACAAGGTCAGGGAAATCTTTCCGTGTAGCAAAATTTCCAACCTGAGCTACACATCTATTTATAAATGTATGCATATATTCACATCTGATCATTTCGAAAGATAACTGCTAATTTTGAAAACAGAGGCTCAATTTGTACATTATTTGTTCTAGGGACATCTACTACGAATTGTCACTAAAAATACCAAGTATGTCGGCTGGACTCCCACAAATGTCTGGGTTAGTTTATCCAAGTGATAGACTACTTATCACCAAAAATTGTAACTTGCCTTGATGGAAGAACTCCTCTGTTACTTTTTCACTCCACTGCTTGCTTAATTCCCAGGTCCGACATGGGTTACAAATATCAGCACATTTCAAAGCCATCTAGTGAGCAAAATATTAAAATTCTTTTAAGAAAAAAGTAAAATTTCAATTGTACTAAGCTCCAACATACTCTAATTGCAGGGAAAAAGGATCTTAATAAAAAGAAAATACTGCAATAGAAAATTCATTGTCTTTTATATTAATTTCATGATGCTACTAGGGCCATCACTTATTTCTGCAGGAATGTTGAAGGACTGCTTATCTCATTACACATGCTTTACTAATACCCAAGAGCCAAGCATAAGGACAGGACTAAACATAAAGCTACAAAAAAATCATCTGATTCTCTCTCTTTTATAGATGCAAAATTTTAATCAAATGCTGTTTCTTGGTCAGCACCCTAATCTTACAAAAATTGTTTTTGTTAGAAATCTCAAGTATGAAAACTACAAAAGCAACTGTGTTTTCCTTAGGAACAGATTCACCTTCTGGAAAGTGTTTCACTCATGGAAGGAGATTCCACAACTTTCCCTCAAGACCTGACCACTCTGAAAGCTGCCCCAGAAGATTTCATTTTTATTCTAATCATCATATAATTTACCCTAGAAAGAGAATCTTTCCCAGCTCAATTTTACCTGTAAAACCAAATGCCTATGCCTGGAATCTTCTAGGCGTAAGTCACCTCTGTCCAAATGGGACCTAAACAATGACAGATACTCATTTTGGCGACTGATGTCTGTGGCTAGTATCAAAGCACCTATCTGAGTCTCCATTTGTTGCCTGGAATTAGAGAAATATAAAGAGAAAATAGAAGACTTTCAATTAAATTCTTATTTCTTTTTTCTTAAACTTAATGCTCTGCCATTTAACTTTTAATCCATCACAATGAATTTTAAAGAATGTGTTAAAAAAAACTATTAAAAATATCAAAACTAAAACCAAAGGAGTTTGTAGGAAAATACCAATATGAGTACATTCCAAAAAGAGTGCTTTTATTTTGTCAGCCAAGGAGGAATTAATTATTTGCCTTAGAAGTATCTATATGAGATTGGTAACATTATTTTAGAAAATTCTTTGCTGGGATGTGCTGAAGGTAAACAATTCTGTTTTATTTTCTGGTGTCTGAAATCTGAAAGGCAAAAGGCTGGTGCAAACAGAGAAAGAACAGCCCACTCAACAATTAACTACTGTAGGTATTTTGACTAAGATGCCTGATTATACATTGATAAAATCCCACCAAACAATAGGAGTTTAGATGCAACTATATTTTCAGGGTCAAGTTCAAGAATCAATTATCTGAATGAATATCCAACTTTTCTGAAAGGAAAAGGTAACAAGTTAATACAATTATATCATTTTTAAAACCGTTTCAAGTCGAATAAAAAGGGAAATAGACTTAAAATCCCTGCCTTTTCCCCACCAATGGGCCATAACAAACTTTATCTATGTATAAAGATCAGTAAAGAGCTGTCACCAGATTAAAAGGCTCACAATATTGAATATTAAGTAAAACAAACCCTAAATAAACGAAACATGAAAGAATGCTATTATGCAGTGTTCCTTATTTTCAGTTTTTATCAACATGGTTAATCAACTGTAAAACACGACAAAAAGGGAATAAAGCAAACATTTTAATCTGCCTTAAGAAAAAGATAATTTATACATATAAAAACTATGGTTTAAACAATTTTTATATTTGTACTACAGCAAGAAACAATATTACTTACCAGAAGTATTGTCATAACTCCAAATGGTATCCGGGAATAAAGATTTAAAAAAATAAAAAATAAAGTCCAGCTTTTTTCTCATGGTCATTACACAAAATACTTAAGTTTTTAAAATAAGGTTTTATATTATGAAAAGGAACAAGGAAAGAACAATGATAGGAATTTAAATTTTAGTGCCCAAACTTATTTTTACACCTCACCTTGTCTCTAGAGTCAGATAGTTCATATCCACCTACATGGTTTTTTTCTCAAGTGTATCTTCTCTCAGTGAGGCATTAGTAAAAGCATTGGTTTATGGATCAATGATAGGACACTTTGTTAACCACCATCCTATTGGGCTCATTTGCACCAATTCTTTTTATCAGGCTTTAAATGGCCTTGCCTTTTAACACGAAATGGCCTTTTCTTAAGAAATTAGTATTTTCTGTTCTTTCCACCATTACTGATTTTAGGACTATGCTATTGAGGTACAAAGTATTCTTTTTACTTATCAGTTTTGAAAACTTCTTGAAACTTGTTTGAATGTATTTGTTATAAAGAATGATTAATTTCTTTACACCTAGGACATAGGGTTTTATTCAAATGAGCATAAAGTGGAAATACATAATACTAGTTATTATACTAGTATTTGGAGTGAATTTTGTAATACTTGTCAAGTCTATGGAATGAGCCATAAAAATGCACTAAAAAAATACTGTGTATCCTGTAGAATAGTTTAAATTACTAGAATTTTGATATAAATTTGTAAAATAATTTAGCCATTAAATTTAACAAAAACTGAAAACTGGAACACCTGAGTAATTTTTAAAACTTTATAAAATTGTTTTGCCAACTTAATTTCCATAGTTTGTAACCAATTAAATGTGTCTTAATCCAGCCTACCTGCTTTCTGATGGCATATGTGAGAATAAACCAGATTCTCTCAATAATCCCACTGCAGATCTCCAGTGGTGATTTTCCAGTACTGAGGTATTCTACAAAAAAGGGCATATCTGAATTAATGGTAAATCTCTTCTGAACATAAAGAATTACTTAGGTGATATTAATCTGGTTAAAATTCTAACATTCTTTGAGAATCTGTTTGCTACTTTGATTCCATTAAAACATTTTCCAGAATCCAAGAATATTAAACTGCATGACAAAATTGCACTAACCTTGTATAAAGTTGCCAAGTAATGGTTAGTTTTAATAAGGAAAGGTTGATTAACACCTGGATGATCCAGATCATGAGTGGCAGCCGCAATTAAGCTCAGCAAGACATCCCAAGGAGTTACAGAACTGGCAAGCTGAAGTGTGACAAAAGAATTAATTATAGACATATTTGAAATAAACTCAGTACCACTACAGTAGTTCAGAATGAGCCCCAAACAGTAGTGTCAAGTCTCCTCCTCCTTCATGTTTTTCAGACTGTGCATTAAGACCACTGAGCACCACCTGCCAGGTGATGATGACACTGGGGATAGGCATAATAATGACGCGTGTCCCTGCCCACATAGACTTTACAGACCCCATCCTTCTACTGTTTCATTTTAAACAAGCTTACTTAACATGACAGCTAAAAGATAAACCATCTCTTTGAGAAATGGGTTTAAAATAAACACAGGTTTGTATATTTTTATTACTATAGCCACTACCAATACAAGACCTATGAGGGTCTTTAAAATTTTTTTAAATTATTTTAAGAACACTTAATGTGAGATTTACCCTCTTATCAGATGTTTAAGTATACAATACAGAAGACCTATGACTGAGGGCACTTATTTATCAACAAACTGGTTACGGGACTTCAGTTAAGAATCCAAAGTGTAAGGTTATTTCTGAGGTCCTAATGTTTATGGAAGCTATTGAGTAATCATGGAAAAGTCTATGTCTAGTCTGTAATAAAATCTTCTCCCAATGGATGGATACATTCAGAACAACGTTCACAATATATTCACCTCAGAAAAAGGCAATCTTGTAAACTAGCAATCATTATGTTACAGTTCAATATCCATTGCTAACCTTTGCTGATACAATAAAATAATCACAAGAAGTAAGTTTACTCCCTGGCTGAAACTATCAGTGATAAAATAAGTAACAGAAACTGTCAATGGTAAGAAATGATCACCTGTATCACCTGTTTTTCATCAATCTCCTCTCATTTTCTGGCCAACCTGTACTCCTCTTTTAAGGCCTGACTCCAATGACCAGTCTGAACCTCCAGGCAAGCAAATGACTGATTTGTGTTCCTACAACACCTCACATTTCCTGCCATAATAACATTCTGCAGAACACACTTTTTTTCAGGTAATATTAGGGCAATGCTTTCTAAACTTGTGTAATCCCGTGTCCTAACAAACAGTAAAATATTTTGAGCCCATACTGCCACACATTTATACGTATGATACTGAATATATACTGCACATGATAAAGCAGAGGTGAAAGTCGACAATTTTTAAATTTTGAGATAAAAAATAAATTTAGATTCCAATTCTAACATTTTCTTCCTATGCCAGAATGGACCTTGTTCCATCTCCTATGTCAAGTTCATCTTAGAGTGGGGGAAAAAAATCACTGTCTGAGAGTTTGAATCCCATGGAAAACTCCAACTTGTTTGAAGGCACTATTTTGAATTCCCTGTAATTGGTATATGGAAAGGCTCGATGAATGGAGACGATGGTGAGGAAAATGGTTTCTTCTTTAGGATACACAAAAGGATTTAAAAAAATAAAGATCTGCTTTAAGTCAATATATGCAGGAGACCTGCTATGTGGGCACCCTGCATATAAAGCAACCTCCTCTCCCCGACAGAGATGTGTGGGCATGGCTGTGGAGATCTCCTGAACATGTAAGTCACTAAGCAATATGCAGAAGTGTTATATTCTTATGGTAAGGAGCACAGAGGCGAAAGGGCAGTAGAACAGACATGTACTATCCTGGGAGAATACAGTAATCCAGACTTAGACTTAAAAAAATTAATGCATCAACAAATTGGTTACTGGACTTCAAACCATCTCAGGTGGACTTAAGAGTTAACCATTAAAAAGAGAAACATGAGAAGGAGTAACTGAATTTCTAAAAGTTCTGTGAAGGGAAAAAGTAAGTTCTAAGTTGAAAACAAATCCACATGAAAAAAATTTTTCATCAGAAAGAAAACTTTATGAGCTTTATAACAAAGACAAAGAAGTCAGTGACATTATTACAATTTCTTAGAGTGAATTAAAAACAAAGGCAAATGTCATTTCCATTCCTGTGAATGTATCTGGTTATGCCAGACAGTAACAAGGAGTCCTGTGAAGAAAGAAACTGCAAACCATTTGACATCTATAAGCCAGACTTCAATTGTACCTGCAAAGTTATCATCAGGACCTTTTTTCAAAAAGAAAACTAGTAATGGTGAGTTTTCCTGTGTTCAATAAAAAACCTCACAGTTTTTATTGTTGCTATTAAGTGCTAGTAGGGTCAACTGGAACACAATTATGATCTATGTAAGTTCAGCTACGAAAACATAAGAAGTGAATACTAAAGTTAGAGCTGATGCAAGTATAAAGAGAAGGAACTTTTCCCTAACTTTCTAGCAATTTTGGGGGCTTTGAATATTTTTTTCACTTACAGTCCAGGAATTAGCTCTTACACAGAAATCATACATAAAAACTGAAAGCACGCTTCTCACTAAATGCTCTATTAAGCCTTTCTATTTACAATTCCCTCCATGCCTGCATCTTTGTAGAGCTGGTTCCTCCTCAAATTTTCTCTTTTGGTTTCGGGGTTTTCTTTTTTCTTTTTTTTTAAGATTTTATTTATTCATGAGAGTCACGGCCGGGGGGGGGGGGGGGTGCAGAGACACAGGCAGAGGGAGAAGCAGGCTCCGTGCAGGGAGCCCAACGTGGGACTCGATCCCCGGTCTCCAGGATCAAGCCCTGGGCTGAAGGCGGTGCTGAATCGCTGAGCCGCCCGGACTGCCCGGTTTCGGTGTTTTCTGACCACTCTAACCAAAGCTGTAAATGCTTGCCATAGACTGGTCACTTTCCAGCACATTCCTCTATTTTGGTTTCTCCACATGAGTAATTACAACAACATTCTATTCATTTGTTTAATAACTGCTTCCCCCCGCTGGGACCTTTCCTGTCCTGTTTTCCAGTGGATTCCTAGCACCAGAAAAATGTACTCAACTAGTGACAGCACTTGAAAGTGTTAGGCCACATAAAAGCCGAGGAAATAAAAAAGAAGGCTTTTCTTAGAATGTACTTTTAAAACTGAGTGATTCTGGTTGTTTTTTTTTTTTTTTTTTAAGATTGTATTTGAGAGAGAGAGATCTAGAGAAAACATGAACAGTGGGAGAGGGAGAAGCAGGCTCCCCACCCAGCAAGGAGCCTGATGCAGCTTGATACCAGAACCCTGTGATCATGACCTTAGGAGGAGGCAGACTCTCAACCAACCGAGCCACTCAGGCGCCCCTGAATGAATCTCTTTTAAAATGTAAATGACAATAAAGGAGAAGGGAATTTTTGCATTTTAGGGCTCAGTGATTTTATCTATCTCCTTCACTGAAGCCTTATCTAAGTGTGGAGTATGTTAACAATGAAAAGTATTTCAAATAAGTATTATTCAGAGCTGCATAGGGCTAAAAGTATTTAAAATAAGAATTATCAGAGCTACATAGTCAAAAAAAAAAAAAGGTTCAAAAATTAGTATTGCCGGAGCTGCACAGGTAAGTCTATTTTGATTCATTTTTATCCACAACTCCCCCATCCTGTGTGTTCTCTGCTCCTCTGGCCACTCCCACTGCCTGACATCAACCCTAACTTCCAGGCCCTGGCTTCTGGTTGGGTGTGGCCAGCGGAAGATGGGAGGGGAGAAGCCTTCGCAGAGGTGTTCACAGTGTCTCATAGAACATCATTCCATTTACCTGGCTGTATGGTGATTACTTATCAACTTCTCCCAAAAAACTCTCAAGTAGAGGCTTTAGACTTAGCCAGAGTTTTTCTAAAGTTCAATAAAAAAATTGGGCTTGGGAGTATATACATTTTATTATGGTATATAAGTGACACCACAATAAATATGCTTTTTAAAAAAAAATCGTGATGTGGGGCACCTGAGTGGCTCAGTCCGTTAAGCGTCCAACTCTTGATTTCAGCTCCGGTCATAACCTCAGAGTCAGGGCATCGAGGCCTGAGGCAGGCTCTGCACCTAGTGGGAAGTCTACTTAGGATTCTCTCCCCTCTCCCCTCCCCTCTGCTCCTCCATTATGCACACACATGCACCCTCAATCTCTCTAAAATAAATATATCTTAAAAAAAAAAGTCATGATGTATATACTTTAAAAATTGTGGATATTTTCATATATTCCACAATCTCTTGAAAAATCAGAACACTGCCAACCACATGGCTATATCACAGTTGGTATCAACTAGCACAAACTGTCAGATCTCAGGGGAGAAGAGTTTAGAAGCAGGGCTAAGAGTAAGCAGATGTATTTTCACAACCCTCAGGGGTAGAAAACGTTCATGGGCAAATGTGGCTTTCTGTTATCATCTACAGAAGATGATTCCTGCATCTGTATCTCCATCAGATTCTCTCCTGTGCTCCAGGATCTTTGATCCAACCCTCTATTCAACTGCTCCATTTGGATATAGCACAAATATGTTTAACTCCCTGTATCCCAAATGGAACTCATCATCTCTACCCGCCTTACCCCCAAAACTTGCTCTCTTTTCTACGTCTTTCTTTCACAGAATTCCACCTTCTACTCAGCTGCTCCACAGTCTTCATTCATTCTGCTCCCTAGTTCATCCCCCCAAATGCATGCAGACACCATAACCTCTAACTCAGAAGAAATCTTACAGACCATCCACTCTCCCCTTCCCCAAGGCTACTTGCCCTAGCTTGAGCCGCCAGGCTCTTCCATGGTGCATCGAAATGAAACAACTCCTGACAGGAGTCCCTTTTCCTGGTCTTGCCAGATTCATCTTGATACCACACCCAGGACAGCTTTCTAAAGTCTCCTGATTCCCTTCTGCAGTTCCCCATTCATTCACTAAACCAGACTAATGCTGTCCAGCCCTCAGGGAGCTCACCAGGAGCTTAGTGTAAATGTCAGTGTCTTAACACAGCACTGGGAGGTTCCTAGGATCTGCACCTTCCCTGGACTTCTCCAGCCTTGCTCCCAACAATCACCCAGTTCTCGAGCTGTTGCACTTACACAGATAACCACGATGGGAAGCTTGATCCAGCCAGAACTCACTCTTGTGAAGGAACCCTCTAATTTTAAGTCAAATCACTAATTTAAGGAAAAACATTTGATAGTACGTCAAAAGAATTTTCTTAGAATTCTCACCCACTGTAAATGTCAGCACCTTACCTTAGGTTCTTTTAAGTAACAGTGCATGGCCTGAGTAACATCTGCAGCATGGACTGCATTGTGGTAAGGGTTCTGACTGTGGTAATCTTCTTGAATCATAACTGCATCAAAGAAAAAAAAAAAAACAACCCACATTTCATTGTAGGTGAGAAGCATATACCAATACAAAAATTATGATAATTATGAGTTTTCCACTTAAAACTTTTATGTGGCTATCAGCTGACTATAAAGATTCAGAGATGATAATCACCTCAAAACTCACACATATACCAAAGAATCAATACCACTGGACTGCTAACTTGTTTGAAATTTTCAGAAGGTATTCATGTCAAAACAATAAATATTTTCTCTTTTAAAATGTGAATCTATCATCGTGCCAATCTCCTCTCTCTTAAATATAATTTTAAGTTTCTCAGTTTAATTAACACTATAATCATTCAACAAATACTTATTGTGCCAAGTACTGTTTTAGATTCTAGACATTTGTCAGTGAACAAAAATCTATATGAGGCTAAAATATTACAGTTATTAGGGTATATGAGCATGATCCTATAGGTGCATCATCAGTGAGGGAAGTTTCAGATGGAATTAGCTTTTCAGTAGCAGGGATGGACCTTCTGTTAATCTTACTCTCTGCTTTGTATTGTGCTCTCATGAAAAGTAGACTAGGATTAGGGCAGAGCTATTCCCACTGCCATCCAGCCTGCAGGATGGCCCCAAGAGCATAACACTCTCATCTTCTGGTCACTGAGTAAAGTGAGCCAATTCCAATTCCACAGTGGTAAACTATCACTCATTGGTGAAAAGGAAGTAGCATTGGAATTCTATATTTAATTTAATCCATCCCTTCAAACAGCCTTTTAATTACTCTTGTTAATATCTATTTTTGTATGTGTTTTATAATTTACACAGTGTATTAGTATAGGACTACAGGCATACAAAGTATAAATAAGTAATACATGAAAAGTCTATAAAGGGCCTAAGTAATAAATTTATCTTAGTCTGGTATTTAAGAGGAAAGAAAATACTATCTTCTTCTTTAAAAAAAGTAAGAAATAATTCCCATGCTAATTTTTTAAACATTTTTATTTGGTAAAAAAACTTCAACTTTTTTCTTAGCAGAGCAGTCCTAAGCAAATATCACCCTGCATGGTTAAACAGATTACAAATCATCTTTAAAGTCTACTGTAAAAAAATAAAAAATAAATAAAGTCTATTGTAAAGAGATTTCTGGGATCAGAAAAAGAGAATACCTCGGTACAATGTACCTGATTTTTTTTAAAGTTTGAGCTTTCAAAATTTTTAAAAAGCACAAAAATTGTGTCATCTTTGTCACAAAGCTGTGGTTAGCGTCAGAGAATGACTGCAAAAGTGTCCCACTTCTTCACCATGCCCTCCACCTGTGCCGGGAACCCACAAAGCTTCCTGGCAGGGAGGTGCTGTTCCTCCCCATCTGATCCGCTTTGGCCAAGAGGATGTTGTGGAAGTAAGAGCACGCCAGTGCTGAGACCGGGGCCTAGGGCTGTGGGTAGACCAGCTCGTTCCTTGAACAAGCTCAGCTTGTTGTAAAATAAATAAATATTCCCTTCTTTTTTTGTTTTTAAAGCAAATTTATTAAGGTGCCAACTCCTCCATATCATTTTAATTTAATGGGAGACCATGGAGAGCCACGTGCAGCCCAGCTGAGGTCCCAGGCAAGGCCCACAGAATAGCTCACCCGTTGTCACCTGCAGGCAAATAAAGGAGCTCAGCCAGACTACAAGCAGCATTCAACAGCTAAATAAATGTGGGTCATTCCAAGGCACTGAGTTTGAAGTAGTTTGTTTTAGAGCAATAGCTAATGGATATAACTGACACAAATTTCAACAGGCTTAAATCTTAATTACTAGTAAATGGATTAGACTCACTTACCTAAAAATCTACGAAGTTTCATCATATCTAAATTGAAGTACTCAATTAATCCATGAAGACTAAATAAATGAAAGGTTAAACTTACTAGACTATTTCCTAAAATGAAAGAAGAAGAGATATTATTAGTAAGAAATACAGGCTAGCATAACCGCCAACTGTGCTTCCAATATGGGTTTTGAATGTAAAACATGGAGAGTAAATTTTGGCTAAAATTTACATCCTTTTATTTTACTAGCTATGAACTTTATTTTTTTAATATTTATTTATTTATAATAGTCAGAGAGAGAGAGAGAGAGAGAGAGAGGCAGAGACATAGGCAGAGGGAGAAGCAGGCTCCATGCAATGGGAGCCCGACGTGGGATTCGATCCCGGGTCTCCAGGATCGCGCCCTGGGCCAAAGGCAGGCGCCAAACCGCTGTGCCACCCAGGGGTCCCAGCTATGAACTTTAAATCTCACATCTCTTTTTTCCATTTTAAGGGGGAAAAAGGCTTTGTTTCATTTTTCTACAACCAAGTAAGATAAGCATTTTCAAACAGATCAATTTTTTGAAAGACACCAAAATAATTAGAATCAATAGAGAACTTTGAAAATTGTCCCACACTAAGTTTAACGCAACTTCCCAAAGCCCCAGAACATGGCTGCTCTAACTTCCAGCTGGATCTCTCTACCAGGTCACTATAACTGAATGACGATGTCCAAAGTCAACTGCCTTAGCTACACCTTGTTAGCTGGAGGTTGTATTTAATTCTTCAAGGTACAGAGCTAGGAGGAGGGATCAATGACCTCAAAACCAAAACTTTGAACTTGACCACTTGCCTCCCCCACACTTGTAGCAAGCAGTAAATCTAAGTAGCTGGAAGGTGGGTGGGTAGTGGTCACAAAACCAAGCAGAGTTCTATCCCATCACTCTAAGTTAACAACACTATATAGCAATCTATGTTTCTCTAGTGAAATGGTTAATTTACCTCCTCAAATGACTATTTTTAAGCTTTTCAAGCCTTCTCAAACTTTCGACATATTTCCACTCACTCACCCTCTCATTCCCAACAGCCTCATACTTCACTGACAATATACAATCCCTAGAGTTTCATTTTCTTTCCAAAGCCAATCCCTCGACACTTCCAGAGTTTCTCAGAAACTCTGCTTGGATATACCTAACAACACATCCCACTTGCATCCCATTGAATCAAAATACCTGTCCTCAGTCCCTCTCTGTATTGTTCTACTCCCCTTCACAGTTAGCTAAGTTTTCTAAAGGAGCTGCTACATGCACTGTGGCCTATCTCATCCTCAACTTCCACTCCTTTGTCACTGACCACAGAGTCAATACTAGTATAGAAATTAAATTTGGAAAAACTACCATTGTTATGATGGTTAGTTTCTCTTCCAAGATGTAACTCTCCATATCTATACCTTCTATTACATTTTTCAAAGTTTCATAGATTTCCTCTACAGTACACATATAATTTTTAAAACTAAGTTTTAAAGAGTTATGAGCTTATAACTTATTGCCAGCATTTAGACAATAACAACTGTAACATAACCATGATTTGAGTAGTCTCTAAAGTAATTCATGATCTTACAAAAATCTATAAAACCTTAACTATTCCCACATTGCATATTTACAGTAATAACATTTATGAAGAATTAAAAAGGACTATTCAGCTAACCTCATTTCCCACAACTGCCTAAACAACCATCAATAGAAGCCTATGACTGAGGAAAAATATAAATTCATTTAACAATATTTGAATGAGAAACCCTGGAAAAGATGCAGCAGACCCAAAGAGATTCTTTTTTTAAAAAACCTGACATATCACTTTTAAAAGAAAAAAATTTTTTTCAAATCTTTTATTTTTAAGATATTAAATGTTAAAATGCATTTAAATCCTGATAACACTATTGGTAGAAACAGGAGTTGATGAGGTTTGGAACCATTTGTGAAGATGTGAGCTATATTTCTGTTATTATTGCTGTAACAACCAACTTTGCCTTGGATATATACGTAGATATTTCACAATATATGTCCACAATATATGAAAACAATCCAGTTAAAAAATAGGCAGAGGGGGATCCCTGGGTGGCGCAGCGGTTTAGCGCCTGCCTTTGGCCCAGGGCGCGATCCTGGAGACCCGGGATCGAATCCCACGTCGGGCTCCCGGTGCATGAAGCCTGCTTCTCCCTCTACCTATGTCTCTGCCTCTCTCTCTCTCTCTCTCTCTCTCTCTCTCATAAATAAATAAAAATTAAAAAAAATAGGCAGAGGATACGAAAAGACATTTTTCCAAAGAAGATCTACAGATGGCCAATATGCTCAATATCACTAATCATCAGGGAATGCAAATCAAAACCATGAGTTATTCCCTTACACCAGTCAGGAATAGTTATTATCAAAAAAACAAATAACGAGTGTTGGTGAGGATGTGGAGAAAAGGGAACCTTTGTGCACTGTTGGTGGGAATGTAAATTGGTGCAGTCACTCTGGAGAACAGCAGGAGGATGCTCAAAAAATTAAAAAAAAAAGAAATAATATATTATCCAATAATCCACTTCTGGGTATTTATTGAAAGAAAAAGAAATTCAAAAAGACACATGCACCCCTATGTTCAGTGCAGCATTATTTACAATAACCAAGTTATGGAAGCAACCTATGTGTCCATAGACAGATGAATGAATAAAGAAGATGTGGTGTATACACACACACACACACACACACACACACACCAAGGAATATTATTCAGCCATAAAAAATGAATGAAATCTTGCCATTTGCAACAACATGGATTAATTTAAAGGGAATTATGCTAAGTGAAATATGTCAGACAGAGAAAGACAAATACCATATGATCTAACTTGTATGTGGAATCTGAAACAAAAAACCAAGCTCACAGATACAGAGAACTGGTGGTTGTCAGAGATAAGGGGTGGTAATGCTGACAAAATAAGTGAAAGGGGTCAAAAGGTACAAATTTCCAGTTATACAGTAAGTCTGGGGGATGTAATGTACAGCATGGTATCTATAATTAATAATACTGTATTGCAGGGGCACCTGCATGGCTTAGTCGATTAAGTGTCTGATTCCTGATCTTAGCTCTGGTCTTGATCTCAGGGTTATTGAGTTCAAGCTCTGAGTTGGGCTCCATGCTGGGTGTGGAGCCTATTTAAAACAATAAAATAAAAATATCATATTGCATATCTGAAAGTTGCTAAGACAGTACACCTTAAAAGTTCTCATCACAAGAAAAAAACTGTAACTGTGCATCATGATGGATGTTAGATTTTTTTGTAATTTTTTAAAATATATACATATATTAAATCATTACATTGTATACCTAAAGCTAAAATAAGGTTATATGTCAATTACACTTCAATTTAAAAAATGGGCAGGAATTGGTGAAAATGGCAGAGTGGTAGGATCCTAAGCTCACCTCTTGCAACGGACACACCAAAACTGCAAGTACATATAGAGCAACTCTCGGAGAATGATCTGAAAACTAGCAGAATAGCTCTTCTACAGCTAAAGATACAAAGAAAAAGGCACATCATGAAGGGTAGAAGAAGCAGAGATGTGGTTTGGTCAGGATCCACATCCTCATGTTGGTGACCCATAAGCAGGAAGTTTATCATAAAGTAAAGAGATCCTCCCTGAGAAGTGAAGGGTTCAAGCCCCACATCAGGCACCCACCAGCCTGAGGATCTGCACCAGGAAGACAACCCTCCATAACACTAGGGTTTGAAAAATCAGCTGGGCTTATATCCAGAAGCTTTGAAAATCAGCAAAGCTTAGTAACTCCAGGAGAAGCCAAGATTCCACTCTGGAAGAACCTGTACACAAACTCACTTGCACAGAGGCAACAGTTTAAAGAGTGTTTGGGACATAAGGGGAGGAAATTCATTGACTAATCTTAGGGCTTATGCAATAGGGTCAGATATCTGTAAGAACTTTATTTAGGAATGGAAGCACTAAAAGATTCCATTTTTCTTGCCATCCCCTACCCAGCTGATCTGATGCTGGCAGGCACCAGTTCTGACACCATCTATCTACCTTGCTAGTGCTGTCACCCTGAACAAGTTACCCTGTGGACCTATCCAGCCCAACCTACCCACCCTGGCAGATACCCCTCCAAAGTGGCTCCCATCTTCATGGCAGGCAGTTCAACTGGGACTGGTGCCTGTCCCGTCCAAAGTGGCTACTGTCCTGAACTTCTGGGACAACATCAAGCATATTAACATTCATATTACAGGGGCCCCAGAAGGAGAAAACAGAAAGGAAAGGGGCAGAAAAATTTTATGAAGAAATAATAGATGAAAACTCCCTAACTTGGGGAAGGAACCAGACATCTAGGTCCAGGAAACACAGAGGGTCCTAAACAAGATGAACACAAGGAAGTCAACACTAAGACAAATAACTAAAATGTCAAAAATTAAATCTTAATAGCAGCAAGAGAATAGCAACTAGTTAAGAACAAAGGAAACCCCACAAGACTATCAACTGATTTTTTCAGCAGAATTTTGAAGGCCAAAAGAAAGTGGGATGATACCGAAGGAAAAAACCTATAACCAAGAATACCCTACCCAGCAAGGCTATCTCAGAATTGAAGGAGAGATAAAGAGCTTCCCAAACAAAAGCAAAAGAAGTTCATCACCACTATACAGGCCTTATAAAGAATATTAAAGGGATTTAAGCAAAAAGAAAAGGTCAAAAATAGAAGAAAATGATGAAGGAAAAAGTCTCACTAGCAAAAGCAAACATATAATAAAGGTAGTGGACCTGCCACTTATAAAGCTTATATTAAAGTTAAAAATAAAAAGTAGTAAAATCAATTATTTCTATAATATTTACTTAGGAAATATATACCAAAAAAAGTTGTAAAATATGACATAGAAAACATAAAATATTGCAGAAAGGTACTCCTGTTAGAATGTTTAGAATGTGACTGTTGCTTTAAAATAGACTGCTATATACATAACGGTATTATATATGAATTTCATGGTAATCAGGAAGCAAAAACCTCTAAACAGATATACAGAAGATAAAGAGAAAGGAATAAAAACACAACACTAAAGAAAGTAATCTAATCAAATCAAAGACAGCAACAGAAGAAGAAAACTGAGAACTAGGAAACAACCAGAAAACAACAAAATAGCAATAAATACACACCCATTAACAATTACTTCAAATGAAAAACAAAACAAAACAAAACCCCACAATTATTTCAAATGTAAATGGACCAAATGTTTCAATCAAATAACAAAGGGTAAAAAAACAAAACAAAACAAAGGGTGACTGAATGGATAAAAAATCAAGACGCATCTAAAGGTAGCCTACAAGAGGCTCACTTCAGACCTAATGACATATACAGACTGAATGTCAAGGGATGGAAAAAACATTCCTTGAAAATAGAAATGAAAAGAAAGTGTGGGTAGCAATACTTCTATCAGACACAACAGACTTTAAAAGAAAACTTTAACAAGTGACAAGAAAGGAATTACATAATGATGAAGGGACTGATCCAACAGGAGGATAAAAAGAAATAGTAAATATCTATGCAATCAACACAGGAGCACCTAAATATATAAAGGAAATATTAACAGACATAAAGGTAGAAATTGACAGTAATACAATATTAGTAGGGAACTTTAATACCCCCCACTCCAGTCAGAAAATCAATAAGAAAATAGTGGTCTTAAATGACACATTAGACCAGACAGACTTACATTCCATCTAAAAACAGCAGAATACACATTCTTTTGAAGTGAATACAGAACACTGCATTCTCCATCACATGTTAGGCCACAAAACAATAAATTTAAGAACACAAAGCAACAAGCATCTTTTTAAAATCAAAATAGTATGAAGATTACAAGAAAAAAAAACTGGAAAAAAATAAACACATTAACAGCAATGAAAAAAATTAAAGAGGAATTCACACACCTTGAGTCAAATGAAAACAAAAATATAATGTTTCAAAATATAAGAGACAGCAAAAGCATTTTGAAAAAGGAAGTTTATGATAGAGCCTCCCAAAAGCACTAAGCAAAATATCAAGGAAATAATCTAAACTTACACTTAAAGGAATGAGAAAAGGAAAAAACAAAGCCCAAAACTAGGAGAAGGAAGGAAATAATAAAGATCAGAGTGGAAATAAATGAAACAGGACTTAAAAAATAATTTAAAAGATCAATAAAACTGAGAGCTGATTCTTTGAAAAGATTAATAAAGTTGATAAACCTTTAGTCAGGCTTATCAGGAAAAAGAAGAGACAAGATTCAAGTAAATGCTATCAGAAATGAAAGGGGAGAAGATACCATAGACACCACAGCAATATAGATTTTAATGACTAATGAAACAAGCATTTGCCAACAAATTGGGGCAACCTAGAAGAAATGGATAAATTCCTAGACACATATAATCCTCTAAGACTGAATCACAAAGAAATTGGAAATCTGAACAGTCCAATTATTAGCAATGAAACCAAACCAACTGGTAATCAAAAAACCTCCAACTAACAAAAGTTCAGGACCAGAAAGCTTCACAGGTGAATTCTACCAAACATTTAGAGAAGAGTATCTATCCTTCTCAAACTATTTTGAAAAATTAAAGAGGAAGGAATATTTCCATATTCATTCTATGTGAGGCCAGCATCACCCTGACACCAAAATCAGACAGTACAAAAAAAGAAAACTACAGTCTAATATTCTTGATGAACAAAGGTGCAGAAATACTCAACCAAATGGTATCAAACCAAATTCAACAACATTTAAAGGCTCATACACTACAATCAAGTGGGTTTTATTCCATAATGTAAGGATGGTTCAACATCTGCAAATGAATCACATGATACATCACATTAACAAAATAAAGGATAAAAGTGCCATAATCATCTCAATACATGCAGGGAAACCTTTAGACAAAATTTAATATCCACTTATGATAAAAACTCTCAACAAAGCAGGTATAGAGTGAACATACCTCAATATAAAAAAGGGCCAAATACAACAAACCCACAAGTAACATACTCAATGGTGAAAAGCTGAAAGCTTTCCCTCTAAGAAACAAAACAAGGACGCCCATTCTTGACACTTGTATTCAACACTGTATGAAAGTACATACCACAGCAATAAGACAAGAAAAAGAAATAAAGGCACCTAGACTGTGAAAGAATAAGGCCATGACACAGGCTTGGCAAGAAGGGTCCCTCACATCACATGCCAGGTAGATTTCAGGGGTGACAAACCCTATCTTGCTATTTCACATATAACCTCTCATTCCTATAAAAAGAATGTCAAATATACCCTACCAGATGGTAAGTAATTTCTTTCTTGAAGTGGGCAAGCTGGGACCATTTGTCTTAAGAGGAATCACTGAGTTTTGCCTTTACCCTGCCCTCCCCACAATGTCATCTGGTGAGCTGCCCAGAGTAAGAAATACAGAAAGCACCAGGTCAATAAACAAGACAGGAAACCTATATACTTGGATACCATATACATATATCATCCAGAATTCATTTCAGGCTAAGCAGTTTTAAAAAGAAAGTACTTCTAATTAAATTATGAAAATTAAAAAAATTTTTATTCTGCCCATTTGCTTCTCAATAGTATCTCTTCATGGATAAAATTTTTGTGATTTGGGGTAGCTGTATTTAACTGGATATGTGTATCACCATCCGTAAAATCACAGGTGGGTAGCTAACTCCTAACAACCCTAAGAAGAAACCATTTGGCCAACTCCAAAAAAGTAATGAGGTGATTAAAGTGAAAGCCAAGTGCTAAATTAACTACTGTAACTAGTGACTATTTTGCCTATCCCACACACTGTCAATCTCACTGCACTTTCATCACCAAGACCCCTGACTAGCAGGATATGTACTTTTTAAAAATGAAATTTAGAGAACCAATTATTTTGATGAGTGACAAGTGTCCCAGTAAACTAATAATAGGCTATGAGCTATTACAGTTTATATAAGGCTAAACTTTGAACTTGCTAAGGGTGGCACTGTTTTATTTACATTTATCTGGAGATAACAAGTGAAGTAATATTCATATTAAGTTAGAAAAAAAGGAATTTCCCAGATCTAGAAGAAGAGTCACCTGATATGTTATTATCTAAATTTTTTAAAAAAGGGAAGACTGAAGGGAAGGACAACTGTGTAAATGATACTAGAGAATTTTCTGTGTGGACATGCTAAGGTGGGGGCAGGGAGAGGAAAAGAACAGTCACCAAAGGGCAAAGGAGAGGTGGAAGAGAAATAGAAAAGGAAAAAAACAACAACAAAAAAAGGCAGAGAAATAGGAGAGAGGTAAACTGATAAGACAGAGTTCACGGTCTTTAAAATTTTGCCTAGAATCAGTCAATTTATTTTCTGTCAACAGTGTACAGACAAAAATAGAAGTTGAAAAAAAATAGAAGTTGATTACAAAGCTATTTTCACCTTACATGGCCACACGGTTTATAGGGAATAATGTAGTGATACTAAAGAGCTAGATCCACATTGATTCTCAAGATGAATAAAGTTGTATCTGCTTGTCCATTTTCCGTATTTGGCTTCCTTATGAAATGAGCTTCATTCCAAAGTAAAGTAAGAAAGAAAACAAAAACAAAAACAAAAACAAAAAAAAACCACCAGTGATTTCAATGTACATAGCAGTGAACTACATAGTTACTCCATTCTAAACACTCTGAGGTGACTTCTTCTCAGTGTACTTTCCAACCTGCTTCACTTATTAAAAAGAATTTAGACAAGGACAAAGTCTACTTGAACTACATGTACCATTTTTTATTTTATGCCAAAATTTTTACCCTAAATAAAAATTATTCCCAAAGGGAATCTTTTTTTCTGTTCCCAAAGAGAATAAGGAAACATGATCCCTACCCCTGAAACAAAACAAAACACTGGAGAGGATAAACAGATTAGAATCACCTGGTATTCTCAAACCACTCATATTCTGTAGATTGTGGTAAGACTCTTAAAGAAGCTACAGGCTCATCCCCATCCAACCATGAAGAAACAGTGTCAGGGGGAACCATTGTTGCTGGTCAGAGTATGTCTTCTTTCTCAAGTGTTCAGAGAAAGAAAAGCCTGAGAACCACAAAGTTAGAAGAAAGGATAGCTCTCAAAATGTCATTAATCTACCACATATCTGTGGCTGTCAAAGCTGGAATATAGTATCAGAAGATGTCACTGTAAATAGCCACAATCCAAAAGAAACCAAAACAGAAAAAGAAAGAACACAAGGAGGTAACAATTTCACTTCACGTTATCCATAATAGGAGCCATCTTTGTGGCCAAGTGATAATGACTAGTGTAACTTTTGAGAGTTATGAAAAAATAAAATTATGAGAGTGATTCTCTGGGTTGATAGATCAGTCACTAACAAAGGGACAAAATGATGTTCTGCTGTCAGCAGAAGGCTTATAACCCAAGGAAATAAAAGTAAGAACCTACCAGTGGTTGTACCATCAATGCAGCAATCTAGAGTACACAGTAATTTGAGTAAGTTAAATCCTTCACTTACCATTTGTTAGTCTATCAAATAGAAAGATATCAAAATTCCAATTTCCAACTTTTTCCAGCATACACTGAAATGAAAACCAAACATTCCTACTGTAATTTAATTTCAGTAACAGTCTGTCTTTTGTAGATAATCCACAGAGAAGTTAGTGAAAATGGAGAGTGATTTAAGAAATGCTAAGTATCATTCTCTTTTTAATCATGACCTTTCCAACTTGCTCCAAAAAAGTGCCCAAAATGCAATTTCCATTTGGAAAATCAAATAACATTTGTTTTTCCAATTAGTGAATATACAGGTAAGGTTAATGTTTCTTTCAACTTATTACTCTGCTACTATGAACTTTTCAAGAATTTTTAATAATAATTTAACACCACGGAAGTGTGGTTTGTACCCGACATGGTCTAGAGTCTAGATTTTAAAAATTTGGTAAAAATAAGTTATAATAGCTGAGTACTTCCTATGCTTGTTCACTCTTACTATTCATAACAACACTGTGAAGTAGGGCATTGTTTTCAATCCTCATTTACAGATGGGGAAACAGGCTAAAAGTGACTAACCAGAGCAGCTAGAAAATAATAGAGCTGGGATCTACAACCAGGTGGTTTGATTACAGAACCCAGGCACCTGACATCAATGCTACACTACGCTTAAATTATTTGTTATTCATGGTCTTAAAAAAAAAACACTCCCAACTTACAGGCACTTATTTATATTCTTTAAATAGGCTTATACAATAATTAATAGCACTTATTACACTTATTTTTAAGTTAATGTATATTTCGGTTGAGCAAATAAATCCCACAACAACCCCAAAACAAAATTGACTATATTTTTAAGCCATATATTTGTAACTGAAACTTCTGTGGAAAGGTCACTGTTGTACACATTCATCAATAAAGTGACATAAATAATACTAATATATTACTAGTAGAGTTTATTTTTGATAGTGTTAACGACCAAACATATATAGATCAATAATCTCATTTTAAAAGGCAGAACATGTAAACTTTTAAAATTTAAAGAAAGCATGAACACTTCTGTTAATTTCTTTCATCAAACAGGGAAACAAATTTTTTTTCACTTTAATGTAATTGTAAAGAAGGCCTCAGCCCTATGTATACACACTTAACAAAATCTGGCCTGTAAATATTAAATCAAAAAATAATTTCAAAAGTACTGGAAACATAAGATTATTAAAAGCCTTCATTTGGTCAAAAAAAAAAAAAAAAGCTCATCTGAGCTCCATCTTCATTAAGACATTTCTTTTAAACTATATAAATAGAAAATAATGCTCACAATCACTGGGTTTAATTAGAAAATATACAAATAAATCATCAAAGCATCTCAGTGATACAAGGAACTATGAAAAATCATTTGAATGAAAGTCATGCAACCTAACACCCTGTGCTGGCTGTACCCTCTAACCAGTGGATGAGCTCAAACAAGTCTCTGATGCTCTTCAGGCCATAGATTCCTTACCTATAGAATAAAGAAATTAGACCAGAAGAGCCTTAAGATTCTTCCCAGGGTTAAGGTTCTGTGTGATCTTATAATGTTCTACTGATTCACTTGTTACTTAATGTTATAATAAATAAAAACATTTTCACCATTTTAGTTACTTCAGAAATCTTCCCTACTCTGTAATACCTGCTTATAAATTGAACAAATGACCTAAAGGAAAAAGCTGAAAAATGGGCTTAACTGATTTTTGCATACAAAGAAAGGTTCTAATAAATCAATATATGTGGGGAGAAAAAGGCTTCATTAAACATATCAAAACCTAATATTTTCTTGAAAAAGTAATACACACCTTGGCTTGTCCATTATAATCATCATCTAAAATGTTTAGAGAATTTGAAACGGTAGTACCACGAAAAAAGCGTGAAGATCTAAGATAACGCTGGAAACTTAGTAACCTTCTGATATTCCTTGCAGACACAGAAACTTCAATTTCAGATTGAGCTAAAATAAAAGAAGTAAAAGGTGAGTTCAGCAAGTCAAAATTGTGCATACACTATCGTTGTAATACCCCTTTCTCTAGTTATATACAAGTAAAAATAAATCATTATACCACATTTCTAGGAGATAAGAAATACTTCATTTGTATTTTCAATTAAAGAATTAGGAATGAAGGGGTAAATGGCCAATTTTGACAGCACTACTGTTGGTGGGAATGTGAACTGGTACAGCCACTCTGGAAAACTGTGTGGAGGTTCCTCAAAGAGTTAAAAATAGAGCTACCCTACAACCCAGCAATCGCACTGCTGGGGATTTACCCCAAAGATACAGATGCAGTTGAAGACCAACATACTTGCACCCAATGTTTATAGCAGCAATGTCCGCAATAGCCAAACTGTGGAAGGAGCCTCGGTGTCCATCTAAAGATGAATGGATAAAGAATATGTGGTCTATGTATAAAATGGAATATTACACTCAGCCATTAGAAACGACAAATACCCATCATTTGCTTTGATGTGGATGGAACTGGAGGGGATTATGCTGAGTGAAGTCAGTCAATCAGAGTAGGACAAACATTATATGGTTTCATTTATTCAGGGAATATAAAAAATAGTGAAAGGGAATAAAGGGGAAAGGAGAGAAAATGAGTGGGAAATATCAGAGAGAGAGACAGAACATGAGAAACTCCTAACTCTGGGAAACGAACAAGGGGTGGTGGAAGTGGAGGTGGGCAGGGGGATGGGGTGACCTGGTGATGAGCACTGAGGGGAGCACTTGACGGGATGAGCACTGGGTGTTATGCTTTACGTTGGCAAATCGAACTCCAATAAAAAATATACAAAAAAATTTTGACAGCACTTAGAAAGCTAATGAGAAGTATGGCTGGATTAATCTTTTTTTTTTTAAACTCTGAAGAATTATCACCTCTCATTCTATTGCTTGAATATCTGTATACACATTATGAAGCAGAAAGACAACCTATTTTCAAACCACCCTTCTTAGTGAAGAGCTGGGTCCCAAGTTTAATCCTAATGAGGTATTATTTCAAATATTTAGGTAATTTTACTTAGAGGAAAAAGAGATGGACCAGAGAATTAAGTAATTTCTATTCTGTAAGAGTTCTAAAGGGTAGGGACAAAATCCTATAAGATGAAAAGCTCTAGAAAGGAGCAAGTCTAACATGTCCATTTTTCCCTCTAATTTTAGAACAAACCAAAGTTTCCTTAAGTACCAGATGAAGTATCAGACCTGGGTTAAAAGCCATCCCCCAGGGAACACATGTTGTCTTTAAACTCTAGAATCAAACTAAATTCAGTGAAATACAGTATAAAGCACATGATAATGGAGACTAAGGATCAATAACTCATCACCCCATCTTAACTTCCATTAACTTAAAATCACCATGTAGAATAGCAGTTAATCAAATATATTCTCCCTTGTGCACCCCATCACTAACTCCTCTATTGACCTATAGTACTCCGATTTTCTGATCTATAAAATAATGGCAATAATATCTAATTCAAAGGGTGCTGGATTAAATGAGATAATGTATACATGAGTTGGATACATAACAGGTTTTAAGTAAATGTTTGCAATGTAGATGATGATAAAACTGATGTTGATGCCACTGCTTGGAAGTCTGCTTCTAGGTAATTATCCTAAGTTCCCAATATATTAGTGTTGCTTTAAATAAAAGTATTCACTGGTTTCTCATCATCTCAAAATGAACTCCGTGTCCTTAGTCTGGAAGGAAAGGCTTCATGTTTCAGGTTCTAGCTCTCTCCAGATTTGACTCAGGTGTCACCTTCCCTGGGAGGCACTACCTGAACACCTGCCTACACCCTCCCCATGTAGGAGAAATGGGAGGTACCTCCTCTGGGTTCTCAAAGCCCCCTGTGCAGATCCCTATCAGACTACTTCTGATACTCGATTATAATGTATTTACCTGTCTCCTTCAATATATGATGACGTCCAATGTAGCCAAGAGCTACCTTTTTCCCCATCTCTTTATTCCAAAGCCTAATAACAGTAGATATGTGAAAAATATACTGAATAAGTGTATCCTACTTTTGAAATATCTGATGAGTTTTCAGATTCCCATATATTCACATAAATCAGAAATAAATGAATAAGGGACACTGTTATGTACATTTTTCATAATGTACTCACTTTTCATTCTAGTCAATCTAAAATAGAAAGTATCGGGGCGCTCAGGGGTTAAGCGTCTCTGCCTTCGGCTCAAGTCCTGATTCCAGGGTCCTGGGATTGAGTCCCACATTGGGCTCCCCAGAGGGAGCCTGCTTCTCCCTCTGCCTATGTCTCTGCCTCTCTCTCTGTGTCTCTCATGAATAAATAAATAAAACCTTTAAAAAATAAAATAGAAAGTATCTAGAACAATTGTGGACTTAAATTTTTGATCTCTAACTTACATTAAAAGGATTGGAATCAAAATAGTAAGTAATATCAAGTGATAATTGAACTAGAATTAGTAAGTTTAAGGAAATGAGGGAAGATTAAATTCTGTGAAAACAATGTTCCCAATTGCTTTGCAAAAAGTACCTCACTTAGTCCCCAAGAATCTCAAAAGATAAATATTATCCTTCACTTTACATATGAAAATACTGAATCTATAAGAGATTAAAGAACTTGCCCATGCTTACAGAGCCAATATAGGATGCAAGGGGATTTTAAAACAGAACTGTTTACAGAGCCTGTGTCCACACTATTACTCCTAAGTTTTATTCCATCTCTACAGTATTATTAATTGTAAAAGTTTTGTGTATAAAATTATTCAAAATTGTCTTTATTTAGATGAAAGCATACAGAAAAAGAAACAGAGGGGGAAAAGCTAATGTACAAGAACTTATGTCTAATATGATCCTTCTGGTCCTATTCCTTCTTAGAAACAAGTGAATCTGGAAGGGACAGAGTTGAATGGACAAATACATAGGGAGCAGTTGAGATCTAATTAAATACTAGCACCACCATCTCTGTTTTTATAAGGCACCTTACAGTTTTACGAAAGAGCATTCATGTCAACTATCCCATTCTGTAATCAGAATGATATGAAGATGACAAGATTATCACCCCCATTTTACAAATATAATCTTAGACACCAAAGTAGAAATGAAATACAATTAATCTGTGAGAGCCAAAGCATTTTAAACATTCTAGAAAATGCTGCAGAATACATATATTCTATTCATTATGGAAAAATAATCTAAAAGAGTTCAAGGTCATGAGCATGACTTCATGAGCATTCCCTTCAATTTATCTTAAATCACACACAAAAGGCCATAGTTTTATCACTGGCAATTAATTACATTGCACCACTATGTGCATGTGTGTGCATGCATGTACACACTAATGATAGTAGCATCACTGCTTTCAAATTATATACCTAAATACATGCACCCTAGAAATAAATGTGAGAATCTCTGGGAGGATAGCTGCAGAAGGACCAAAAAATAAATGAGCCTCATCTGAGGGGAAAACCCCACTAACACAATGCACTATGCTAAGTCCTCCTATCAACATGGCAGAATTCACACTGTCAACGGTTAAGACATCTGGCAGTCTGGGAGCCGGAGGCCTATTCACAAGATCACAGCTGTATCCTCCTGCTTTACTCCTAATTTCTGACAAGTCACAACCTCGTGATGTCTCATTTTTCTTAATTAAAACAAAACAAAAAACATAATTCATGTCTTCCTGTTTCACAGAGTTCTGAAATTGGTACACATTATCCAGAGTTCTGGTTTGATCATATGAAGCTGAGAATGAGTCTTACATACTGACTCAAGGGGAAATGCTCACTCATGGGGGCCCAGTGCCATCCAGCAAGACTAACCCCATAAATAAGCTACTCAGAGCATCAGAAAGAGAGCATCATTTAATGATAGATCAGCCTTAACAAGTACTGATTATTTCACAGACAACTTAAGAAAGGACAGAGAACCTGTCCAGATGAAGCAGCAAATCATCCACAGAAAAGTGCTTTCTCTACCTAGAAGGCCTGGGGAAGATTACTCAAGAATATTACATTGTGGAAAGCCTGGAAATTCCATAAGACCCTGCAGAGATAGTAGCTAAAACTACCCCAAAGCTTTAAGACTTCATATAGGACCAGAATGTGGGAGAGGGAGGAAGAGAACATTTGATTTTTCTATTAGTTACAATTGAATATGCAATTGTTCACATGTCTCAAAAATGAAAAGGAAGCGGGATCCCTGGGTGGCGCGGCGGTTTAGCGCCTGCCTTTGGCCCAGGGCGCGATCCTGGAGGCCTGGGATCAAATCCCACATCGGGCTCCCGGTGCATGGAGCCTGCTTCTCCCTCTGTCTCTGCCTCTCTCTCTCTGTGTGACTGTCATAAATAAAAAAAATAAAAAAAAAAGAAAAGGAAGCAAGATGGGACGAGAAGCAGGGAAGGAATTCAAGGAGGAAGGAAGGAAAGAAGGCAAAGGGGACAAAAGAATACAGTGAAAAACCTAACCCCTAGCCAGTCATCCATCCAACTACTTCCCAAGCCCTCCCCTAAAATGATGAGCTTTTTCTTAAAGTTTCCTGTGTATCTTTCCTGAGTTTTTGGTCAAATAAATAAAATCACCATACACCATTTTTCTACTTCTTTCACATAAATGACAGCATACTCCATTATATGTTCTGCACCTTGCTTTTTAATTTATCTGGGAGCTCCTTCCCTACCAGTACTTAGAGACCTTCCTCATACTTTCATGAGGCTGTCAAGTATTCCATAATATGGATGAACCATAATCTTCTGAACCAGTCCTTTACTGAAGAGCACTGCTACAATTTTACAATTTGAAAAGATACCTTCATTTTGTAAATACACTTATATTCCTGCTTCTTGATTTGTCAGCTTACAAAATCATCCTTTAATCCTTTACCACACATGAGGAATCTACTCTATATCCTACTTTCTCTCTTTTCCTTTCCCGATGTTAGCAGCATACAGACTTTCTCCTTCATTCCAACCCTCAC